GCTCCCCCCGTGCCGCCGCCGCAGCGCGCGCACCTTGCTCGCCAACGAACTCAGGAACGCGCTGACACACGATGTAAACTAAATTTTAATTATTCTTTCTTTCTTTCTTTCCCCCTTTCTTTCTTTCTTTCTTACTTTCGTTCTCCCTTTCTTTCTTTCCCCCTTTCTTTCTTTCTCCCTTTCTTTCTTTCTTTCTCCCTTTCTTTCTTTCTTTCTCCCTTTCTTTCTTTCTTTCTCTCTTTATTTCTTTCTCCCTTTCTTTCTTTCTCCCTTTCTTTCTTTCCTTCCTTCCTTCCTTCCTTCCTTCCTTCCTTCCTTCCTTCCTTCCTTCCTTCCTTCCTTCCTTCCTTCCTTCCTTCCTTCCTTCCTTCTTTCTTTCTTTCTTTCTTTCTTTCTTTCTTTCTTTCTTTCGTTCTTTCTTTCTTTCTTTCTTTCTATAATAAGTCAATTCCCATTTATAGCAATTATCTCTCAACAAAGAGGATTTTTATTGCCACAAAAAACTACATTAGAAATCTAATACACACACCTTAGAGCTAGTAAAAAAATGTGGCAAGCTCAGCAGTTTTAATAACACTAAAAAATGTTCTAAAAAGAGTCACCGCCATAACAGAGGTTTTTTAGAGTTGCCATATTTTTTTTCTGTATTGCCATTTGAAAGTAAAGAAGAAAATTAATTACAGTAATTCCTTTTTGAAATATTCAGGACAGGTCTTGAAGTCATCCAGCGCAAGGGTCTCCTCCGCAGCCACCACGATACCGTCCCCGTCCAGCGGCTCCTCTTCACTGAAACGTTAAATTTATCCTAAATACTCCCATTTATAACACTAGATTTACAACAATCGCTATACAAAATGTCGCGACGTGATCTATTGATGAGTAGCGAAATTCATGTTCATGGAAAAATCGAGCTGCTTCCAGAATATTCTATCGCAGCGACATCTGAATTCAATTAGTAAAATTGACGTCAAACACTCAAGGTGTTTCTAAAATGTTCTATCGCAATGCTATCTGATGGCAAGTAGAAAAATTGTCGCTCGTCAAATATTCAAGGAGTTTCTAGAATGTTCCTTAACGCTATCTCTTGACGAGTAGCGTAAAAGACATTTCTTTTTCTATTACAAGGCAAAGGTTACCTATTTGCACTGAACACAGATTTAAATACCATAGATCCTAGATAAAAATAACGGGTGTGTCATATTATTATTATTTTAGGTGACATACTAGCAGCTAGTTAGGTGATGTGTGTGTTGTATATCTCGGAGATTTAAGGTTTGTCTAAAGCGTTGACTGTTGGAGCCGTGTCATGAGTGTGTCATGTCGTACCGAGCATGGCACTGCGCGCGCACGTGGTTGAGTACCCGCGCGAGGTCCACCGGCCGGTCCTTGCCCTCCATACAGCTGGGGTCCAGCCCGTCACTGCCGTAGCGGAACTGAACTACTTCGCCCGTCGCGTTGCGGACTGTCATATCATACTGCAGCACCAGATCCTCTAAGGACTGAGGAAAATTTTAACTGTATCCTTTCTCATCATCATCTTCCTCCTTATGCTACTTCTGTAGTGTCCAAATAACTCTATCATCCGTCATCTCAGCCATCACTCATCATGTCACCTTTCATGCAATACATCCATCTCTTTCTAGTATCACTTCTTGACAGATATTTAATAACAGTCATAGGGTTTTTTCACTGGTACTTTCTGTGATCGGTACTATATCGGTTGTCAAATTTAGTACGCCATTTTGGAATGTAATATTTAAGAAAATTGTAACAAGCTCCATCTATTGTTAAATTCTAGCCACATATAGCAATTTTTCATTATTATTTATAACCTTTTTGGTCCCGGTGAAAAAAAAACATAGCCTATGTTACTCACTGTTAACGTAGCTTTTAAATGATAAAAGAATTTTTGAATTCAGCTCAGTAGTTTTTCAGTTATTCCAATACACAAAAATACAAATCTTTCCTCTTTAGCACAGACTACATTCTAACCAAATAATGTTATTTAGATGCCATACATTTTTTAAGTCGGGACATATTCATGACACCTATTGGCAATTAATCTTACTAATATTATAAATGCGAAAGTTTAGATGGATGGATGTTTGTTAGAGTTTGTAGCCTAAACGGCTGAACGGATCTCCATAAAATTCGGCACAGATGAAGAGCATAATCTAGAACATATAAGCTACTTTTTATCCCGAAAATAGTTACGATTCTCGAATGATTCTATTGCGGTTTTAACAACAGATAGCGTTAGTAATAATTATGTAAAAAAATCAAATACAACTGTCCATGTCTCCTCCATATATATAAATCTCTTTGTATCCTTTCAGAGTATAATAAAATCTCACCTTAACCAGTCTTCTCTGCAGGTATCCGGTTTCCGCAGTTTTAACAGCAGTGTCCACCAGACCCTCGCGACCTCCCATCGTGTGGAAGAAGAACTCAGTAGGAGTTAAACCTGAGTAGAAACTGTTCTCCACGAAACCACGCGCTGCAGGAATCTTTGCTAAGATAACCGAGAAATAATAGTATATACTAAAAAATATTAACATTTAGCCTATAATTTTGGCCTTAAGGAACTAAAAAAAGTTTTTTTAATCGATATCCCTTAAGCTTAAGCATTTATGAAGATCCGCAACATCCATCCATCCAAAACATTGCATTTGTAATAATGGTAAGATGTGTATTTCGAAAAGCGGGGTATTTATCACACTTTTGCCTGCGAATCCGTTACGGGGAATCAAAACTATATAGCCTATGTTTTTCAGATTACATTCTACATTTGTGACAAATAATATGAGATTCAGTTAGGCCGTTTTCACATAGTAATAAACACAAACATCCATCCAAAATACTGCATTTATAATTAAAGTAAATTGTATATTTTGGGAAAAAGAGAAAGAGATTAGGTCCTCCCTCAGGGTTAAAATAAAACTTACAATGTCTCTCAAAGTGCGGCAGCGAGCGGTCCTCGAAGCCGTTGGGCACTCGCTTGCCGTTCAGCGCCTGCTGACCCACGCACGCTATCATCTGAGATATGTTGATGTTGGAACCTACAACCAAACAAATGTACAGTTGCGGAAATACGCGGTGTTACACTTTCAGGAAAATTATAATACATTGTTCCTTGCGAGATTCTGGGTCTAATAGAAGACCAATTAGGTAGAAGACAGTTGAGAAAAATGACTGAATAAAAATTGTAATTAGTCGTGTACTGCTGATCAACCTTTTTTCGGATTATTCCCAACCGTGACCCTGCTCTGTCTCCACGTGATAATAAAAAGTTTCATTAGTCCCACCTTTTAGTCCGACCATCACCAATAAGTTGACAGATGGAACCCTTATGAAATAAAATAAGTTCCAACCGTCGTCGCAAACGGTGGGATGGATGAAACTTTTTACTCTTATCTGTTTCCACATGGGGACAGAGCAGGGCGACGGTTGGGAATAATCGCTTTTTTCGTAGAAATATTTTAAAAATACTGTTTTGTTTCTATTGGTCATAGTTCCATGTGATCACAATGTGTACAAAATGTTTAATATATCGTTTTTAAAGTGGAATCCCGACAGATAACCCAACTGTACATAAGTGACATGAAAAGTTATATCTTTTGTGTAATAAAAAGAAATTGTTTATTTTACCTTTAGATCCGCTCTGGGCCATAATAAGCGGTGCATTGGTCGGATGTAATTCACGGAAACACGCTTTAGCTGCTAACTCTCTGTGACGAGGAAAATAATGATTTAAACACTAGCTTGTAGAAGAGGAAACAATACTAGAACTATAATTTAAAAAACTATTTAACTACGTCGTAGTATGACTCCAAAAATCAAACAAAAAAATGGGACCCACCTGCAATATTACCTTTCGAATAAAAAAAGAATTATCAAAATTGGTCCACTAGCGGCGGAGTTATGCCGTAACACACATAAAAAAAAACATACAGACGAATTGAGTACCTCCTTCTTTTGGGAAGTCGGTCAAAAATTAAATATGTATTCTTCCAGAATATGTTTTTATCTATGGAAAAATTGTAAGATCCATGCAACCTTTTTTGAGATACGTAGTAAAAAACATCCATCCATCCATGTAAACTTTCGCATTTATTATATTAATAAGAAGTAAGCCCAATAAGACAAATTTAATCATAACATGCGAAAGTTTGGATGGATGGATATCTGTTACTAGATATCTCCAAAACGGTTGCATCATTATAAAATTTATCATAGATTTATAACTTAGTCTAGAACACATAACTTAATTTGTTTTTTAATACCGCACGGGTACAAAGTAAGAAAGAAATGTATAATGAATTTAATTCAATAAGTTATTTGAATTATTAATATCTGGGTGGTCTGCCACCCTAGTTTGGATACCACTGCCCAACGGGGAAATCAAAAAGATTTTTTAATGTATTTCAGTGACCTGATGCTGCTAAGCTCGCTGAGCATGACAGCCTCCAGGGTCTCCTCCACGGTGCAGCCCGGCTGGCACTGCAGCGTGCCCTTCTCCATCTCCAGGATGTAGCCATCGCACTTTGAATACCTGCCATCAAACAGAACATCCATCATTGTACCCTTGGGGTTGTCGTCCACCAAATAATTCTATTATACGTCATCTATCATTACTCCCTTCTTCATCATGTCACCTTTCACGCAATACATCCATCTCTTTCTACCTCTACCTCTATCCGTTTACACAACACTTATAAGTAAAATCAACCATATGCATTTTAATTAAGTATTTGGCAACACTACACTAATATAATAAAATATATACATACACTTCTTTGTAAAGTAGGATTTTTTCATAATTTAAGGTGGCAAACGAGCAATCGGCCACCTGAATCCACCGAAATGGCAAGCGACCGCTACCTAGACTTCCGCAAAGGCGGATGCGTTGCCTACATTTCTTCTACGGAGGAGACGTACATAAAGAGGACATTTCCCCTTACTATACGTCTCCTCCACTTCTCAGTCAAATCCACTTTTCCTTCCCATCCTTTCCTTTTAAGAAAAGAGTGGAAATGGACTAAAATTAAGCCATAACACTTACGATATCACAAATCACAGCATATTGTTAAATAATTCTTTCTTTAATAAATACCCATACATTTAAGACACGCTTTAAGCTTTATATTTTCACGCTATTTAATTTAGAAGGTAAATAAATTGTAATAAAATGGAACATACAAGAAAGGGACATAAACTACAAGCCAATAGCAACAATCACACAGAAGACAGGCGTGAAGTGGGAGCAATTCCGCGCTTCGTCTGATGAGTGTGGTCCCGGTGGCCCAACTTTAGTCCCTTTTTCTCATAAGAATAGGATTGAAAGGGAACGTGGACGGTGGAGGAGACGCATAGGAAGAGGAAATAAACTTTTCATGTGCGAGTCCTCCGTCTATTAAAGGTAGGCAACGGACCCGCTATTCCTATGGGAAGCGGTCGCTTCGCCATTTTGGCGGATTCAGGTGGCCGCTTGCTCGTTTGCCACCTTATAATATAAAAAAAATCAAGGTTGCCATGGTTACTTAAATTCTCAACCAATAGCTTGTTATTCGAGCATTTGCAAATTATCACTTACCCTGATTCTAGTAGTTTGTTCTTAGCTTCTATAAGTTTTTTCCCCGGCGTCACGTCGATAATGCCAAAACTAAAGCCTCTGTTCATCATATAATACGATGCCATGCGAGCTAACCTATAAATAAATTTATACAAAATTTAATTTTACTAAAAAAAAAAATCTTATGATTTCTTAAAAATCCTACTATTATTATAAATGCGAAAGTTTAGATGGTTATTTGTTAGAGTTTGTAGCCTAAACTGCTGAACAGATCTCAAGGAAATTTTGACATATAGAGGATAGTCTGGAAGGACATAGGCTATCAATTTTGATTTTTTTTTAAATTCCACGTGGACGGAGTCGCTGGCCAAAGCTAGTATTAGAATAAACGCAATATTTATTGAAAAAAAAGCCTTCCTAAATATACACTCCAAGTAACTATAAGTACCGAATGCATGATATCCATCAATGTTTTAATTTACAATATAGAAGTTACCCTACTTTAAGTAGGGCAAAAATAACCTCCACATGCCCCTGACAGCGTACTCCTCGCCCCAATCCCGCAGCAGGATGTAGAAGATGCTGGTCTTAGTTCCAGAACCTAATGTGCTCTTATCCATTGATCCGCAAAGAAGCTCGGAATTTCTTATTATAACATCTGAAAAAAAAAACTTATTAAAAAAACACAAAATAACGAATTTAAGCAAATGAAAACTTTACATAAGTTTTTTAACTTTACTTTCTCATATAACGAGTTACATTTCGTTACATGAGAGAGAAAGAAGATATAACAAAGGAGTTAGAGTGAGACAGCGCTATACAGAATAATTGAGGTGTGTTACTTACAAGAATCCTGGATGCACATATCTTGGTTGCTGGTGTAATTCTTGCCTTTCACTTCTAGATTGGCTTTTACTTCGCATTGCTTGTTAGGTTTCATTATTAAACTGTAAAAAAATCATATTAAATTATTTCTAAACAAATTATTATCTATACTAATATTATAAAGGGAAAAGAATTTTATTTTTGTATGTATTGAAATAACTCAAAACTACTGTGCTGATTTTAAAAATTCTTTCACCGTTAGAAAGGTAATTTATCTGCGAATAACATAGGCTATATTTTTTTTACTATTTTTAAGTTCTACACTGGGAGATACCTGAATATCTGTTTCCCAGTCCAGAGCACCCTCGGCTTCAGTATAGCTGGCGGAGGCATGTCGATCCTCATGGTGCTGTCAGGTCCCGCCAGCAGGCAGCTGGCCAGCTGCTGCGCCTCCGCCTTGCTGAGGAAGGTGTCCCGCTGCGTGATGAGGTACCCGCCCGTGATGAAGTCCTGCGTCGCCGCTATCAGCAGCTCTCCGTTACGAGGAGTTACCAAGTTGGATTTGTTCTGGAAAAAAATTGATATAAATGTCTCGTATTTAAAAAAAATCTGTTTTTATATGTTTTAATCTTTACAATTTGATCTATTAATAAACTTGGTACAAGTAACTTAGTTTACAGAACCATCTCCCATACAAAAAATTAACAAGTCTTTTCATCATAATTCAATCACATAATGTTTTCGTCTAATAACTCTGACGGCGGAATACTGAAACGATTCTTAAACACTTCACTTCCTTAACATCGTTTACAATCTGACAATATTAACATTTTATTGCCATATGGAGTTTAACCCTGGCATTGATGAATAAAAATGTTACATATTAAAATCATCACATCATCATCACCAGCTCACTATACGTCCCCACCGAAGGGCTCGGAGTCTACCCTAAAAAGGGGTGTCTAGGCCATAGTCAACCACGCATATTAAAAGTACCATATTAAAATGTCGTTTCAATATCCTGCCCTATCAGTAAAAAATGCTAACCCCCATAAGTATGAGCGCCTCCGCGCGCGCCTCCTCCGTCTGCGGCAGGTGCATGTTCATCTCGTCGCCGTCGAAGTCCGCGTTGTACGGCGTGCACACGCACTCGTTGAAACTGGGACAATCTTAGTTTTCAAGTATTCATAAATCTCTCAATTAAAGCCTAGATTCAAAAATTTACCAAATAATGACACGAATTAAATAATCCGTCAAATTTTGTAAGGAATTTGGTATTTATTTGTCGCATATAAACGGCGTTTCTGTATTCGGGTGTTTGTGTCATTTATTTAGTGAGCATTTTAAAATCATTATTTCCAAAGGTAGACGATAGATGGCGGTATTATTCATTAAAGCCTCACTCGTTTATTATAATTATTTTTGTTTTTTTTGCATTACTAACGATAAACAGATAAATAAGATTAATTACTTTTAAATTTTAAACATATAAGATTTACCGGAAGGTCCTCTGCGGCTGCACGCGCGCGCGGTGGCACATGATGGACAGCTTGTGCAGCGACGGCTGCCGGTTGAACAGCACCACGTCGCCGTCCACCAGGTGCCGCTCCACTATGTCCCCGCACTACCACACACATTTTTAAACGATGGAATTAAAAAAATGGTCGTCTAAAACATTCCCGCGTACATCTACTTTTGACCAGCTACCTTCCAAAGTCCCGCCCAAATCGGTCCACCCGTTCCAGAGATAGCGGTTCGTTCGTCATTTTGACAGCGCGAATTAAAAACAAGTAGCCTATGCCATGCCCGTCTGTGTCAGCTACCCTTCAGTGAAAGTACGGTCAGGTTATCAGTGAGTAATATAGTACTTACAGGTTTTTAATTATTTTTTAATTTTACGTGGGCGAAGTCGTGAGCAACAGCTAGTGTTTTACATATGAAAATTCATCATTACACTTCATAACAAGTTTCATTAAAATATAGTGTCTCAAAAAAAATGTTGACAACCTCTGGATTTTCACTTTGACATTTCCAATCCAGAGGTTCTCAACCTTTTCTGCTATTTAGACAATATATTTTGCTGTCTCTCATTTTCGTGTTTCTGTTTGTTACCTTAAGTTCGTGTGCGATTTTCTCCCTGTTGCCGTATTTGAGGTATTTCTTGTGCCGCAGGCCGCGCTGCTGCACGTAGTTGGCGCCGGGGTGCACGTCGGGCCCGTTGCACACGAGCTGGCGCAGCCACTGGATGTTGGCGGGGAACACGCGCTCGGGGTACGTCAGCACTTTAGCCACATGCACTGGTACACCTACCTAATTTTAAATAATTAATATAATTGTTACTAGCGATATCAATTTAAACACTCCACTAGAGATCTGGTCAGAAATACGCGCGAATATTAAAATCCTTTTAATGACATTGACAGCTGTCAGCTAGGGACGTGACGTTTATGCTGATAATCTAGTGTTGCGCCAATTCTACAGCACGGTACTAATTTTTTTCTTAACACTAAAGAACAAATATCATGTGAATCTATAAATCTATACTAATATAATAAAGCGTAAACACACTACTTTGTGGCGTACTCAGCAATTACAGCATATTTTTGAATAATTCTTTAATAGAATGCCCTACACTTACGTTACGCTTTAAGCTATATATTTTGACGTTATTAAACTTAGGGGGTAAATGAATTGGAAAAAATTGCGGACAACAACTAGTACTACAACAAAGAGAAAACTTTTGATATTAACACAAGAAGGAATATTAGAGGAATAATACTGTCTAGTTGAGATGAGAATCGAAAATTATCTTTGATTCGGACGTTTTATTATAAAATGATACTTTGAATATTGAAATTTTTCCCTTACCTCTTGTATCTGCAAATTAGGATCAGGGGAGATCACAGTACGACTAGAGAAATCCACGCGCTTTCCTGACAAGTTACCGCGGAAGCGTCCCTGCTTGCCTTTTAAACGTTGTACTAATCCACGACCAGGTTTTTTAGGCTGGGAATAATAAAAAGAAATATATAAATATTCACACTGTTTACTCAAGGACAATCAAGAGCAAACCATATGTATGCGTTACATGAATGTAGAAGTCAAGCCATCACAAATAGGTCTCTGCCTACCGTTCTGGGTTAGGGGCGTGAGTTATGTCGTAAATTACAAACTTCAGTAGCGTTTATCATCAAAACAGTTCCCATTTCTCTATAAAGAAATGTAAAATTTTACACAATGTGAACCAAAAGGCCTTCGACATAACAAATAATGCAAAGAGACTCCAGATTATATTGTTTCGGGATAGATAAAGTACCAGTTTGAAGCGCCCTGAGTAGATAGCCTCTAAATTTCTACCACACACTCTTTTTTCTAAGAGTGTATGTAGTTAAGGCCAGGGCGGTCCAGGGCGGGTCGCCCAGGCCTACCCTGATGCTTGCTGGTTCTAGTACCTGCATAGACATGGGTATGCCTGACATCTCGCTGTTGATGTAGAGCGCGACGTGCAGCTGCAGGTAGTCCCAGTCCTCCTGCAGCAGCTCGCTCTTGCCGCCGCTGGCGATGTGGCGGCCTATCACGTCGTTTATCAACAATATCTCTGATTGCTTCATTGTTAGATCGTCTTCGTTACTGTGGAGTGGAACGAATGTATTTGATTATTCCAGAAACTTCTGACATAAACATGTGGAAAGAGTTTCTTGATATGTAAATGATTCAATCTTACATGTATTAAACTTTCATCTTATAATCAAATTTTGTTTTTTTTTTACGGTGACAAACGAACTCGCCTAAATAGCGAAGAACATCCGCATATGCATATGCTTTGCCTACCCTTAACTAGCGGGGAACGGACACGCACATAAAGAGGATATTTTTCCTTCCTGTCTCTGTCCGCAAGCCGCGTTTGTTCCAGGTAATCTCCGAAACAGCTCGGCCGATTGCGACCGGACTTTCACTGGTGGGTAGCAGACATGGACAGGCATATTATAGGCTATTTTTTTTTAATTTCACGCTGTCAAAATGGCGACCGGACCTATCTCTCGAACGGGTGGAACGATTTGGACATGACTGACTGGAAGGTAGCTGGTAAAAAGGTAGATGCACGCGGGAATATTATAGACAATTTTTTTTTTATTCCACGCTAACGAAGTTTGCGGGCGACAGCTCGTATATCAATATTTTCCATCCATTGAGTTATAGAATTTCTATCACTAAATAAATAAAACGTAACATATCAAAAGTAAGATGGTAACTTACGTGCCAGCTTTAATATCAGAGATAACACTAGGCCGTATGCAAAGCGGCGGCACCGGCAGCCGCGTCAGTATCAGATCCTCCGGCCGGCAAGCTTTCACATTCATACCGAGGAGGGGGATGTCCTCATCGGGGATACGTCGAAATAAATTCAATACCTGCAAAAGTCACAATTTAAATTTACTAGTTTCATACAAAAAAAACAATAAGTATACATGAAGAATATAGCCACTAGTAATATTCCCGAGCGGTGTCATCTGCATGCATTATAAAAACTTTTTTCATTGTTCACACTGAATAAATCTATAATAATATAATATTACAAAGAGGAGAGCTTGTATTTTTGTATGTATTATAATAACTCAAAAACCACTTGGCCAATTCTAAAAATTCTTTTACCATCAGAAAGGTAATTAATCTGTGAGTAACATAGGCTATGTCTTATATTATTTTTTAATTTCACGGGGACGTAACCGCGAGCAACAGCTAGTCTGTCATACATTGCTATTGGCTGACAATTTAAGTAACCATGGCTTTGCTTCTTTTGCTGCTTTTGTCTCTTTCTTGCATTGCGATTTATTTGAATTTACTCACCCATGGTCTTCAATAATGTGAAAATATATAGCCTAAAGCATTTCATAGGTATTGATATTCATTAAAAATTAATAATTTAAAAATATATTATGATTGCTAACATCCTTCATAACTAGTGTGTTTTCACTTTATTGTGTTAAGTATAGAACTATAGGTTAGTTAAGCTACTAACCATAAAAACAATAACACTCTAGTCTTACCTCTAATGGAGTTAATTCAATAATAAGTCCGCTGTTAATCATTGCTGCAACCTCTTTATTCTGTTCCTTAGCTTCATGAAAATCTTTAAGCACATTCACAACTATAGGATCCAATGATTTCTTATTCCGATACTTGTCGTGTATGATCTTCAATATTCCAGTAGAACTTTTCTTAACAATTCCATTCAATGATTCACAGTACATACATTTGTTACAAGTTTTAGCTTTCTTTAATACAGCTGCTCTTAAAGTCTTCTTATGCAAATAGGAAAGTTCCGGATTATTGAATTTACGTCTGAATGATTTCTTTATTTTTTCCGGTAACATTACTTTCGCACAATCCTGTAAAAAAAACATTTATTGTATAAAATATTTATAGCGTCAGTGATACAGTTAAGCATTTAATCAGACCAGAGAAAAATCTGCATGTCCAGCTTTGATCGCCAATACTTACTAGTGTGTTTTTTTGTGTGTGTGTTTTTACAGGGAAGGAAAACATTGTGATGCGATCTGCACATATTAGTGAAGTAATTCAAAGATGTGTGTAGTGTGTGTGTGATTCAAACTGTAGTTGTTTTAGGTTAGGGTCTGAGTGACCACAATTTTTATAGTTACTGTAATAACAATGGTTCCTACTTGTCTATGACATTATCTGAAATGTGAGCATAAACATAATGCTCTAAGCTTACCTTGCATATAGTCTGCAGAATGGTAATGATGGAACGAAAATATCCAACATGGAACACAGGTAATGCCAGCTCTATGTACCCATAGTGACCCACACACTCCGCCAAACCAAGGCCACATGTCTCACAGTCTGCATGCTTCTGATTTGTACCCTGTATCACAAAATTTCTCCTATCAATGTTATTAAATGAATATTATCAACAGCTCCTATACATCTAGCAGTTGCTCGCGACTTTGCTCGCGTGAAACTAAAAAATGTAGCCTATGTTACTCACAGATAAATTACTTTTCTAACAGTGAAAGAATTTTGAAATCGCCTCTTAATTTTTGAGTTCTTTCAAAACATAAAAAAATACAAATCTTTCCTCTATAAAGAGGAAAGATTTGTATTTTTATTATAAAATATAATATTAGTATAGATTATAAGCCACTATTTTTTATTTACAACTTTCATATTTTTTAACTAGATAACTAATTAAACCTATTTAAAGAACTAGAGGTTTTAGTTTGATTTAGTCTATGATGTGTTCACGTTTTTTGCACAGTAATTAACTGTATTAATGTTTAAAAATTTATCTTTACCAATTTTCAATTAAAAATAATTTAATTTAAACACAAGTTTACATAAGAATCATTGATATCCCACTACATTTAGTCAATTAATTGTTTAAGGAATCTGTTAGAGTAGTTTTTTTTTAAATAAAAACCAATAATAACTGTGAGTGAATGTTTGTGTTTGTAGCTTGTATGGACAAGACAATAACATAACTGAAATACCATTCGTCTGTCCAGTACGCCATAAACGGCGGGAACTCTTTGCCCATCCTGAGCGTATAAGTTCTTCGTAATGACTTGAATATGAGCCGCTTGTTGAATATTGGAAGCACTGTCCACATTAAATGTGACGTGAGAACTGAAATTAAAACAAAGCTTATTGATAAATTTTGCAGTAACATATTTAGCTATTATAGCATTTTTTTAGTTTTAAAACTACAGTAGACAAAAGAAGTGATAATCGGGCAAGTAAATTCAGAAATATTTGTAAGAAACACGACGATAAATTTGTAAACATAACCTAACTTACATCTTTCTCCCAACATATGTTTCGCGATATTGTTCTTTAGGCATTTTTAGTAATCATAAGACTTATGTATATTCCTTAAATAATATTACACTATTTCCTTTACATTTAACTAAACTAATACATATATTTTTCCTTTTGCATATTCTAATGTTTTGACGTTTTGACCACATTTGACATTGACATTACAAACAAACAGTGTTATCACTTATCAGTAGTAAAGTTAAGCATAACAACTTAAACGCTTTATTTCATTACTGTATTTTAAATGTCGTATATGAAGTGCTTACTTATAATATCAATAAAAATCATAGAAATTAAAAATGGAAACAATATGTTGTTTTAACAATAGTTTTTAAAAGTGGAAGATTTCTCAGTTCTATTTTGATTTATGAAAGTGTTGCATGAAAAAAAAACTGAAAATTACCACATTTTCAAATTACTCTTATAATATTAGCGTTAATCAGCCACGAATAAGGCCTTTAAACATATCGGAACAAAATATCTTTTCCAACTAAAATTATTAATATCTAAATTAACCGTTACTAGAAGAAAATGCTTCTCAATTATAAAACGTATTTAACTAATTATTTTTCCAACTATCGAGATTTACAAATTATATTTTGCAGTTAAAAACGCCTAAAAGTGTTATGGAATAAGCAAGACATAAAGAGTTGTAATGATTGATTCATGCGCGGTTTACACTTGGCAAATACAGTTGGTCAATAGCACTCTGACTGGACCGTCAATTAACTGTTAGAGTATGAACGCTAACAGGCGCCGCGCCAATAATTGTTGCTTGTGGCAACTGTCCAACTGTACTGGCCAAGTGTGAATCGGCCATTAAGAAGTCAGTGCCAGTTTAATGAAACTACCAAGAAATACACTTCACGAACTATACAAGTGTGTCAACACAGTTCATATGTTTCTGGCGTAAAAAGTAGCGCCCAGCGCGCCGTTTTTTGGCTTGTCAACCGAAACCACGCAACAATTTCCCTGTATCTTGATAAATGTTACTATTTTTCTCCAGTTTTACATTGAAGATTACGTTTATCAATGTGCCGCACAATTCGTAATGTAAAGCGGTTAGAGTGTTAATCGTGAAACATATATCAAATTAGTTTTCCCACCGTAGTGACCCGCGAACTCTTAACATGCCTCTATTGAAAAGAAAAGCGTTTGAGAAATCGACGGTGTCTGAATACCTTCGCGACGACGATGAGGTCTTCCACTGCGAGATCACCGACGAGATATTCAAGGATTATGAGTGAGTTTGTTTGTATGCAGTGTTTTCGCGCATTTCTCGTGTTTTTGTGAATAATATTGCGTGTACCACTGCGACATAAACCGTTGTCATTGCTTCCGCGCCGCTGCTCTTGTAGTAACGCAAGCGTGACATAATATGTCACCGTTCGATTTAATATGTTGAAATTTAGGATGATTATTAATGTTTTGTTTTACGTTTACTTTCAAGGGAGTATTGCGAGAGGATTATCCTGGTTAACTCCATGGTATGGACATGTGAGATGACCGGGAAGAATAATTTGACATACGCGGAGGCTATGGACAGTGAGAAAGCTGCAAGGAAGTCATTAAGAGACTTTCCAATGGAACTTCGAATACCAATATTGTACTTGGCAGCAAAGACCAAGAGATGTTCATTTGCAGAGATGTCAGAGGATGTATTTAACTTTGTAAGAGAGAGATACTTTGTTGGAGAGTCGGTTGAAGCTTGTCTGGAAGGTGACCAATGGCAGGAAGCGCATGTACTATCTGTCACAGTCCAGAAGCAACATCCAAACAGGTATCTTATATGCTAAATTTATCACTTAGTACATAATCTTATTGGAGACTAAAACATTACATAAAAATATTGTTACATATGTAACAAATTATGTTAGCAACAGCATATACTGCATTTATGGAGTTAGGTGGGACAATGTGTCGTCCTAAGATTCAATTTATCTTTTATAATTCCAGTAAAGTGCTATTTTATTTATTCAAATTAAAAAAAAAATCATAAATAAGTAACAGTACAGTAAAATCAATAACAATTTTTTTATAACTGCCACATATGATTGATAAACATGTTTATCTGGTATCAATTGATTCTTAATGTTTACATTTTTTTTATTAAATTAACACTTGTATACTAAGAATTAAAAGTAGTAATATTTATACCAAAATAAATAAATTGGTGACTGCATCTCTATGTGCAAATAGGATAAAACCAATATTTGTAACAATTAGTAAGATAAAATCAATTCTAATAAGATTTTAGTCTAGTTAGATATTCTAGAAATAGATGATATATCTGCAGTGAAAGTATCAAAATTTATTATGAAAGCAATTAATATAATTATACTTATTATTTGAACTTTATTCATAGTAATGTAACTTACATTATGTCACATTTTCCAGTACATCAACACCTCCAGCATCCTCATATTGTTACGAAGTGGAACAATTCCAAGAATCGGAGCAGACCTCTGCTGGCCAGATGGGTACTGCTCCTTACGACCGCGTACGTCGACGCAAAGGCATCTACTCACGTGACAAAAATAGACTCTTCCTTAAACAATTTGTTGAACAAGGAGCTGGAGGAATTATTACAATAAAGGTAAAAAAAATACTAATTTTCTTATTAGTATTAATTTTTGATAATCCTGTAAAGAGGATTAACATGAAAAGATTTTTTTGATATCTAATCCCATCATAGTCGACTGTTTCGTATCTGGTAAACTTACTGGTTAAGAAAATTGAGAATTATGCTCTTAATAAGATGTGAACATGGCAAAAAAGGGTACAAACTTCTACAGTGTATATTTATTTTATTCAAGGCATATATTGCATGTAAAAATGACTTCGAGATATGACACACATTAAAATCTTTTACAGCAATCAGCAATGGAAAAATACAACATAAATAAAGTCAATTTCAATCAAATATTTACTGGAAGCCCACCGGAGTTTGCATCATCAAAGAAATTATTAAAAACAAGTATGTCACCACCGAAAGCAAAGCCAGGATCAGCGACCAAGCTTAACAAATCATTGAAGAAAAGTCCTGATAAGAAAGGCAGACAGGAATCCATGGATAAGTTTGTGAAGAAGACTGATAAAGCTGAAGGTAATAATTTCAATGATATGTTCTCATTCAAGCATTTTCTGCCTAACAGAGTAGTGACGGCATGGAACAGGCTTCCGGATAGTGTAGTTGCGGCTCCAACAGTCAACACTTTTAACAATAGATTAGACAAACTTAAAATCTCCGAGCTTTACACGCATCAGCTAAATAGCTGCTAGTGTGTAACCCAATATAATAATAAAAAAAAATAATGTTCATTTCTTGCAAAAAGATTTGTCTATTTCACAAGACATTCTAACTCACTATATGTCCCCACTGAGGAGCTCAGAGCTTACCCTAAATTAAAAGTAACTAAGCCTTAGTTAACTATAGTGGCCCATTGCACGTTGACACATTTCTTTAGATATCTTCTTAAATATGTCATGATCATCAACTTGCCCTTATCCCTTATAGTATGTCGGTACAGTATGTGCTGCCCTTCCATACATCTCTATCTGCCGTCATATCTGAAACCACTTCTATCTTAAGCATATCCTCTTTCACACAATCCATCCATACTTTCTTCGGTTTTCCTCTTCCTTTGTAGCCATCCACATTCATTCTTAACACTTTCTGGTTTATCTTCTCAAAGCATTACAATTTTTTTCACAGTAAGAATGTCAGGTAAAAGTACCTATGAAATTAAAAAATCGAAAATTACATTGTTACATAGCAAAGTAATTACCAATAAATACCTTAATTCAATAATTTAATAATATCAATGATCACCAGCATCGCCAAGACCGAAACCACCAATGGATCCTGAAGCCAGAAAGAATGCACAAGAACTAGCAGAGAAAATGCGGAGAGCAGAAGACCAGCTGAGACAGCGCAAGGAAGAAGAGAAAGCTAAAAAGAAAGCACATCTCAAAGAGTGGCAAAGAATTAAAGATGACCAAGAATTAGAAGACCATAAGGTAATTTTCATATCTCTAGAAAATTTGTTTTGTACTAGCTGTTGCCCGCATGCCCGCTGGAGATCCGTTCAGCCATTTAGGCTACAAACACTGACAAACATCCATCCATCGTAACTTTCTCATTTATATTATTTATAATATAAGATAGTCTGGAGATTATAAGAATCCTGGCCTAGAGACACTTCATTCAACTTATATAACATTTTAATGTGCATAAAGTTTGTTTTGTAAATGTTTAAAGTTTTCATTTCTGATTTGGTTATAAATGGTCAAAGATTAGTATTTATTATACATAAATAAAAAAATATATCAATTTACACAAAATAGTCACAAAAAAAAATAGAAGCGATGTAAACTAGTGCATAGAATTAAAAAAAAAAACCTAATTGGTAACCTATGTTCTAGACTGTACATAAAATTTCTGTAAGATCCATTGCTATTCTTGAGATACAATTTAGCAAACTTTCTCAATTTACCTGATTATGCTGTGTTTTAATACAATAATGTAATCCAATTGGAATTATATTAGAACTAGCTTTCGTCCGCGTGGAATAAAAAAAAACAAAAGGTAAGTATCCTATGTGTTCCACCAGATTATCCTCTACTTCTATGCCAAATTTCATCGAGATCCATTCAGCAGTTTAGGTTACAAACTGTAACAAACATCCATCCATTTAAACTTTCGCATTTATAATTTTAGTAGGGTTAATTTATTTTTAAAGATATTTTTTCCAGGTGATACCACAAGCCACGCCAGTAGCAGTGGAAGGCATACCTCACAAACATTTTGGAGATTTTCTATCTATTCTGGAATTTGTTCACATGTACAGTGACATCCTCAAAGTAAAAGATGTATTTCATCAGGACTTCGATTTAGAGTTGTTTAGGAAATCATTGACTTTAAAAGAGCACTCGGGAACATTTAGTGACTTAGTACAAATGTTTCTAACTACAATATTTACACTGCAAGAAGATGAAGCGGAAGAATATAATGAGAACGGAAGAATGCAAGAGTCTACAGGTAAGTAGTGTTATAATTTATTTATTTTAGTACTAAAATGCATTGCATGAAATCTTATATTTGCTTATACTCAGGGTATTTCTAAGTTTAACTATATACCGCGTTTATTTGTAAATTGCTATTATTAGTGAATTATTGAGGTGTAGCTTTTGTTTGGCACATTACATCTATGCAAAATTTCATTTCTCATTCATAATAGTAAGATTGCACTCAGTCTGTAACTAGTCTCTCTTAGTATACCTTAAACTTTAGTGTAGATCTGAAAACCCGCATAAGGGGATCTCTTAATGAATGTGGCAGAAAATTCTCCACATAAAAGTATAAATTTCTTCAGATTTATGATTATAAAGTATTCAAATATAAATTGCAGGTGATGCAGAATTAGAAACGGATATAGGAGTATGGAAAGCGATTGAATTGGCTACAAAAGCCGGCAAATGGCCACAAACTTACCTCGGCACACCGCTCACCAAGCTGCCGCTGGACCCCACCACTGTCACTGAAGTACTAAGGTAACAATATCTACTTACATACCTTAAGAAGTTTAAAATTTAATATATATCTATAAGTCGTTATTGCGTGTGACTTTGTCGGCTCGGAATCAATTAAAATTATAAGTTAAGCCTATGGGTTCTTCCAGAATATTTTAATGTTAAAGCTTTCGCCCGCAACTACGTTCGCATGGAATTAAAAAAAAAAAAACAAAAATGAGTAGCCTTTGTGTTCTTCCAGAATATGATCTATACCAAATTTCATCGAAATTCGTTCAGTCGTTTAAGCTACATACTCCAACAAACATTCATTTAAACTTTCGCATTTATAATATTAAATCTTACGATTTATCAAGATTCTTTTGGAGATAGTATCCGACATCGTTATATCTACTGAAACATTCGCATTTATACATTTTATTTCATAGATGTAATCTAACAAAAATTATAAATTTCTATTTGTCGCATCTCAGTTATCAATATTATGTGAACAATTTTTATAGATAAGGGAAAATATCTATATAATTTATAGATTGTACATGCTGTCGTCGGGCGGGGTGAGCGGCGGGCGCAACGCGGCGCTGCGGTCGGTGCAGCGCGGCGGCTACACGGGCGCGGACGACGCCGCGCTGCGTCTGCGCATCTCCGCGCCCGCCGTGCTGCGCCGCCTGGCCTCGCTGCACGTCGCTGATCTACCACTAGGTAAAACTATCCTTTTTTTTTTTACGTGGCGAAATGTCTACACATGTTCCGACTCATTGGGACCTAGAGTCGGAATATGTCGGACTCGCACCGACTAAAACCCCACGGTGGTCGCCAACATCGCAAGAAAAGGGGGGAATGGGATCTCCGTATGGAACACAACCATGTCAATATTCTCTTCTGGGGGTTGCCCAGGGCCTCATATAATACACTTGCAACCAAAAATCCCCTAAGGAGGGGGAGCGTCATTAATGAGCGGGCCGGCAAACGGCGCAGTTCCACGATGTCGGCCCCGTCGATCGGGATCGAATCTTTCCCGCTACCGCTCAGCAGCTTCTTTCTAACACCTATCCTAGAATTCAATTAAAATGAAAATAATAAAAGTATCTAAACTGTACCTTTATAAAGCTGTAATCATAAATTACACAACTGTTACACAAACACGTTTGTTACATAAATGAAAAATGCTTTATTGTTCAATGTAAATACTTTTGAATAAAACCATATACAAGGGCGTAAGTTAGTGTTTTCGTGTTAAATATCTACACGTAAAGGGTTAATTAAAACAATTTATAGTACGGCAACTTTTGGTCCTTTGAGTCGGATAATCGCTTGTTTCAAACATAGTATTTAAGCGTTATTTCGATGAATTAATGTAAATTAGTAAAATCGTATGTTAAAACAAGCGTTTTAATGTATTTTAATATTGCAGAGGATAAATTCCTGATTCTGCAGTGTCTTATGAACCAAGTGCTGAGTTACGCCACCGTGCGAGATATCACTGAGGAGCGTCTCGAGGAATACAAGACTATCAAACAGTCTTTAAGAATGCTACAGGTATTTATGTAATTCCTTATGTAATCTATGACCTAGTTAACTACCGAAATTAATCCTTCAGATAGATTTTTTAATTACTTCTATTTGTATTAAAAAAAACTAAAAAAAAAACTTGCTGTAACAGAACACGTTTATATTTCGATTTTTTTGATGAATGAAATTTGAAGGAATTGTATTTAAATATAGCAGATAAGTCAAAAATTAGTTTTTGTTTCTGATATCTTTCAATTATTTTTAGAGTGATGTAACATTTTTTCGTAATTTTGTAGATAAATGAACGAAAACGCGAAGTACAATTGGTAGCAACACGTCAGGAATTAAAGAAGGAAGCTCAGACCACTAAAACAGAACAGAAGTTAACAGGCGATCAGGCTAAAGAAGTAGATGAACAGCTCAAAATATCAATAGAGAAGTTAAATAAGAAAAGTGAAGTTAAAAAACACGAATATGAGAAGAAACTGAAAGAGTTACAGCTTTCTCTCTTTAAATATACTTCGTATGTTGGTAAGTCATTTTTGTTTATAATCGACTAGCTGTTGTCCGAGGCTTTGTCTGCAAACAATTTAAAACAAAAACTTAATAAATATACTATGTGCTGTATAATTTTTATATAGATCTGTTAAGCCATTCTGGAGATATGTAGTAACAAACATCCATCCATGGATGCGACACGATGACGTTATTACTGAAGATTTCAACACATTTATATAAAAAATTAGCGGTTACCCGCGATATCATGACCACAGTATTAAAAACGGCCCAGACGTTGTTGAGATTACCTAAATAAAACACGGCTTACATATAAAAAATTGGTTGTCTGTTACTAGCAATGCAAATATTCACCATGTTTTTTTTTCTATCTTCTCGTTGCATAAAAACACTTGTTTATATAGGTATGGACCGCGCATACCGTCGCTACTGGGTGGTGCGGCGCGTGGGCGGGCTGTTCGTGGAGGCGGGCGGCGAGGAGCGCGGCCTCTGCCGGCACAGGCCCGCCCCGCATCTCACCAGGGAGGAAAGAGGTCGGTTAAAACACAATAAAACTACCCTTCCAGCCACTGATATAAGATAAGCTTAGCTGTACTCGCTTTGGCAGAGGTACAGTCAGCTGCATAAATATGTGTATGTTTACTAAACTTGAATTTTGTAGATTTTAGTTTATGTTTGAACGTATTTGTCAATTATATTTATGGTAGGAACCACAAAATCACATACAAGTTTTCGAAGTGTTGTAAAGGGATACATATTTATGCAGTCGATTGCACTACAAAGCTCTTAATTGTAAAGAATTTAAAGTGAATTCCTAGTTTTCTGAGCAAAAAAAACCGTTTTATTTTATTATTTACTTTTAAGCACTAGAATAATCTATTGAAATAAAATTTAATCTACAATTTAAAAATATCTAATAGCTGTTAAATATCACCAAAAATTACAATATTCAATGGGAATAAAATAAAAAAAATAAAATATTTAACGCTTGTATATCCAGCTGGGAGTGACAAAGAGAACGAATCAGCGGCGAATCGCGGTTCACCAAAGAAACCGTACTTAAACGGTGTGGGCGTGAAGGTGGGCGGGGCGGAGAGCGGCCCCGCCTCCGCGCACGCTCTGCAGCGCGCGCGCGACCTCATGCTCTGCACCGCCGATATTAACACCTGCTATGTACACGGCAAGGTGAGCATTTCAACATGAACATAATATACTTCTGCCCTTTTCTTAAATTTACATAGCTTCCTGAAACTTGGGTGTCAAATATATAGAATGTACGGATCCATCTGTACAAGTGTAATATTTTTAGAACTGAAGGTCTATACAAGTTTAATATTTGTAACTGTACTTTGATATATCTCTGTATAAAATCAATTGATCAGAAGTTTTGTTTAATCACAACTGTGAACTTAGTTGATATCAATACAGTCTAGATTTTATAGATTGAAACCATATATTTTAGCAATAAAACGTACTATACTTCAACATGCAGGAGAATTCTATTCTAAATATTAAAGACAGATAAAAGAAAATTTGACTATGTTACTTATAAGTTTTCAATCTCGACCGTTTATAAACTGTCCGGAGGGTATAGTCTGTAACATATGATTTCAGGTGGACCGTCCCCAGTGGTCGGTGTACCACAGCGCGGAGCAGGTGGGCGCGCTGGCGGCGGCGCTCAACAAGCGCGGCCTGCGCGAGAGCGAGCTGCGACACGCGCTGGAGCAGGACAGCGCGCATCTGCTGGCGCACGTCGACTCTTGCCCGCTGTATCTGCTCAACCCCGCTATAGCACCGGTAACTTGCGATTATTACAAACATCTATAATTCTGATACGTTTGACAAGAATCACAAACGTATGTAGAAACTCGCACATAGTAAAAATATTTTTTTATATCATTAGGTGGCAAACTAGCAAGCGGCCACCAAAGTCCACCAAAATGGAGAAGCGACCGCTGCCCGCATTCGCAATAGCGTAGCGTTGCCTTTATGACAGAGGTGGAGACATTTTCCTATCCAATGCGTCTCCTCCATCGTCACATCCACGTTTCCTTCTCTTATAAGAAAATGGGTGGGAAGGAAAGAGACTAAACTTGGGCCTGATATAATGAAATTGCAGTGTCTGTGTAATGTCAAAAGAAAATTCTATATTTCGCATAGGTGATGTATTTGCGTTGTTGATAAAGAAAATTGTCTTAGTTTTTTTTTCATGCCACGTAAACGAAGATACAAGAAAAATCTAGGAAAAAAAAATATCCGAAGACAGAACTAACGTTTTGTTTTTTGTATAATATTAGTAGACTTTGTTAATTTACTAATATGTAGCATTGCTGGTAGGTTCGTCATATGTTTCTCAACTGTTGAAGGCCGGGATTCGAATCCACGAATTTTAGTTAGGGACATATCTCAAGTAATTACGATATGGGGTTTTAAAAGTACACACTACTTGCAGCCTCCGGCGCAGCCATCGCAGCACATGACGCGGCGGCGCTGGCAGCCGTCGCTAAGCGTGCCCGCTGACACTTCCCTTAGCGAAGCCCTAGAGCTCTCCTTACGTGACCACATACTAGAACTGGAGGAGAAGATCTTCCACGGATGTTTAGGAGCGCTTAAAGTTAAGGTAAGTTGAAGCCCGGTGTACATGTATAGACGTTTTCAAATATCTTAGTGGCTCTTAGTAAGAGTTTGACTATGTAAGGTGACCTTGGGATGCAAATTTACTTGAAATGGCCAATAAATTGTACTTAGTGGTCACTAAATGGGTTTCTTAGTGTAAGTTAAAATGATAAATGTTAGGTGCTGTAATCATAACTGTTACACAAAAAACTTAAGTGCCTGTCTATGGCTGTAATCTAGGAAGAGGAGGGGACAGGAAGATAATTAAGGGGGAACAAATGGATGATCACTTAATACTTTTTTATTTCAAAGGGAAATCCTGCATGAATGATACAATATTTCAATGAAATATTAATGAGTCGTTTTTAAGTTATGTATGAGGATAAATGATGTTAGGACCGCGAGGCGTGGCGTGGCACTCTGATGCTGAAGGGCTACGACAAGCAGGCGGAGTACCTCAGTTGGGGGCCCGGACAGAAGTACAGGGATGACTACCACCAACCCAATGGTGTTCTCAACTTACCCAATGGTGAGTTTATCATAGAACATAATTATATACTAGCTTTCGCCCGCGATTTCGTTCGCGTGGAAAAAAAAAAGAAAAGTAAGTAGTCTATGTTTTGTTCCAGACTATTATTTACGTCTATGCCAAATTTCATCGAGATCCATTTTAGCCGTTCTACAAATTCAAACAAACATCCATACTTCCTTCCATCCCTCTAAACTTTCGCATTTATAATGTTAGTAAGATATGAAATCTGTTGGGGAAATTGGTTCCTGTTTAAAGCGCCTGGTATTCATCAAATATTTTTTATATGAGCAAAAGTACCACACATCTGAATACTATCGAATAATTTCAACAAGACTTAAAATAATCGCTAAACGGAATATAAAGAATAAAATGTGTAATGTTTATTTTTAACACAGATGTAGATAAAGAAGAAATAGAAGCGATACCAATAAACAGATATCGGGATCCCGGACACTATTTGGAAGCACCAAAGTTAAACGGCATCAAGAATGGACTTGAGGAGAGAGGTCCCAGCGCGGAAGTAGTACGAGGTCTAGCCTGCGCGCTGCTGCAGGTCTCACAGGCTATACACCATAAATACTTGAAAAGACCTCTAGGCAAGTATACATCATTTCAAATATGTTGCCAGCTCAAAGTAAACTGCTTTGTGGTGTTCTGTTCTGTAACTCGTACGATGTTCCTAGCCGACAAGATATTTGAAATGTTTTATATTAAAACATATTCGATTTTAGGGGAAATGTCTTCAAAGCTAATGTCAAAATAATTTAACTTCTTCCAGAACTGAATATTAAACACTTGTTTAAGAAATTCATGTTACTTTTAGGTTTAGACGACAAAGAGCGTAAAGACCGTGAAGCAAAGAACAAGCCTCTGGACCTGGAAGCACTCGAGAGATGGGAGGTGTCTCTAATGGAGTGCAGGAGTTATGCTCAAGTCGTACTCCACCTGCTGACCCTGGACTCCAGCATCACCTGGTCAGCCAGCATATTGAATGCCAGCTGCAGGATCTGCCGCAGGAAGACAGACCCTGATAATATGCTGCTATGTGATGGCTGTAATAAGGGACACCATTTATATTGCCTCAAACCTAAACTATCGGTTAGTTTCTTACTAGTTTTCCAAATTTTTTTCACATATCTTGTCAGCTCAAAATCATTTTTTGGAGGCTCCACAATTTATACATAACACGTACGATGTTCCGAGCCGACAAGATATTTGACGATGTCTATACTTGATTTCGATTACTTGTTTTTAATGAGTTTTGTAAATTTCATGCGTCCAGTCTATATTAGTGGCAAGGGTGAGTTGTAATTAGTGAAATGTGTGAGAAATTATTATTATTTAGGTTTTTGCTTGCATTTTCCTATGTTGGCTATCGAAAATGCTTGTTTTGAGGTATTTATGTACCGTTAATTCTGGATATAGACATGTTTTTTTGCTTGTTAACAGAGAGTACCTGAGGGCGATTGGTTCTGCGACCAGTGCCGGCCCAGAGAGAAGACGCCGAGGAGAAAGAGGAAGCTGTTCAGTGATGATGACCTTGAAGATGACCTTGACAACAGGTGAACATGGGTTATATTAATAAGCGACATTAAAATTTCAACCTTAAAGTTGCTTAAATTCATTTTTAGACATGTAATTGTAAAAACTCTCTTATTTTATTTTAAAATTTAATTGTATTTCCAGTGTTAGAAAATTGTTAAACCAATAGGTCATGTAAATATTAATTATATTTACTTATTAATTGTTGCTCGTGACTTCGCCTGCGTGAAATTAAAAAATAGAACAACACATAGCCTATGTTACTCACAGATAAATTACCTTTCTAATGCTGAAAGACTTTTTATAATCAAAATATCGATCGATCGATAAATACTCTAGCAAAGGTAGATTTAATCATCATTTAATCTGTTTAATTGACAACACAGCGACGTCATATTAGATAAGCCACTTGCTTCGACCAATAGTGTGCGTTTTAGAACTTAGCGAGGGAATTTGAAAAAAAGACACTTTTTAATGATTACATTTTGCCACTTAATCACATTATATTTTAAACAATTTTTGCAGGAATGTTTTTATAGTAATAAAGTATACTTAAAAAAAGTTTGGTGCAATTTGGCGTCATATGCATATTGCCTATTGTTTGTCAGTGTGTGCGGTGAGGGTGAGGGTGGTGCGGAGGGTGAGGGCGGCGAGGAGCTGCAGTGGGCGTCTGTGTGCGGCGCGTGCGGCAGCGGCGGCCGGCTGGCGGCGACGTGCGGCGCGTGCGGCGCGCGCTGCCACGCCGAGTGCGTGTCGCAGCGCCGCGCGCTCTGCAACAACTGCGCTAATGGCACCCGCAGAGGTATCTACACACTATACTATACCCTAGAGTCGGTGGCTCAGTTGTAATCTACAGGTCTTGGGTTCGAATCCCGCCGTACCAATGTAATTTTCCATTTTTCGAATTTTCATATGTACATAATTTACCCGACGTTCTTACGAAAAACATTGTGATGCGAAAAAATTCAAAGATATGTGTGAAGTCATCCAACCCGAAGTGCAGCGTGGTTGACTATGGCCTAGTCACCTATTTAGGGTAGGCTCCGAGCCCCTCGGTGGTATAGTGTGACGTATAGTGAGCTGGTAATGATGATGATGATACTATACCTGTAATGTACTAGCGGGGAATTTGTGGGTGTTACAGCTATGCTTGAATGATTTGTATGCAAAATGAAAAGATTAGTAAATCTGTATCATAAAGGTTGGTCACGGGTACATAATTATTTGTTTTTTCGTCGTGTGAAAGACATTTTAAAGCCAAACAGGCAGGTTTGCCCTCAATAAGGCTAGTTTTCTAAAATTGTAAAACCGCGAAAGGTGCTGACCGTACCAAATGTATGCCTGTTTATTCCTTGAAAACCGGTACTAAGTCATGGGAGTTAATACCTTTTTCGCCACAATACAAAATTTTGAGTACAGCGGTTATGGTTATTATATTTAAAAAATCTGCACTAAGAGGTCTTTAGTAACCATTCTTTATATGTAAAGAGCACACTGTCCGTCGGTGCGCGGCGACCGCAATCAACAACATCCACGAGTACGCGAGGGTGCTGGACGCGCCGGTCGACACCTCCGGTTTGTCGCACGATATGACACTACCTCCTACCTCTACAACTCCTACTAATACAGTACTATCCAAACTTTATGACTGCTCGCAATTTTCCAATTGACAAAGCACAAAAATAAGTAATACTCAAAAAGGGTTCCATTAATAGCATCTGAAATACATCTATGCGTGCATACGAAGTAGACTAGAAAGATGTACAAGAACTGTTGCCAAATAGATGTCTGCAGACTCTGCTTACCCCATTTGATTACGGGTGTGACGTTTTATCTACACCAAAATTTTAGCAATTAGGAGGACAAAAGGATACAAGGAGATGCAAACACGTGATCCCGCTTTTCTCGTGCAATGAATGAAATTCGAGCGGCTATAAAGTTTGAATAGTATAATACCATTTTATTTTCTTAACCTCTTCTCATTCAGAAGGCCTTTTCTCTATAACATTTGCTTCACGCCTACTTACTCCCTTTTCGTTTGATCACCTTAATTATGGAATGTCATAAGTCTATTTGCTTTTGGGTCCGTTTATTTCTTTTGGTTTATTTGCTATGGTTATTTATGTTTTTTCTTCGTTTTTTCGTTGTTTTAAATTTTTTTGCTGCACAAATTTTGTCGATTTCCTTGTTGTTCTGTTTGAAAAGATTATTCACCTAAAAATTGTAATTCTTGGGTGGCGTTGCATTTTACTATGGCACATTTTCATTTCGTTTTATTTTCTGCTATTTAGCTTCAATTGATAAATTATAAAAAGATTTTACTAATTATATTTTTATTGTTTATAGATTCTGAGGATAGTGAATATAATACAGCGTTGGTGAAACTAAAGAAACGTAAATCCCGGAGCAGTAAAGATGAGTCTCCAGCACCGAATGGCGCCAAGAGAGGGCGCAAGTGAGTTAACGTTTATAAAATTGTGTATCTTTTTAAAATGACCTAAAACACTATTATAAATGCGCAAAATTGAATGCAAAACTAGTTTTAATAAATATAGATAGAAAGTAATCTGGAAGAACACGTACTAAGTTCTTTTTCCGCGGACGATGTCGCAAGCAAAAGTATTTTTATGTTATTAATCTCATTTTTACAGACCTAAAAATATGGTGAATGGCACACCGGGCAGAAAACCTAAATTACTCACAAATGGACATCACGGTATGTAGTTGAAAAATAGATTTTGTAATAGAATACTATCTAAGACTAAGTAAAATTACTAACAAAAAAATGGATTTATATCTAAAAAATATAATAAATAAATAAAAAATAGATTTTTTTATGCTATACTGCTAAAAATATATTTTTAATCTATGCTATGTTTTGCAGAGGAGGCAGTGGTGAGGAAGCGGTCCAGCAGACGTGAGCCTTCAGTCAGTCTGCACACGGACAAGTTGGAGACGCTCCTGAATGATGCAATGAAACACAAGGACTCCTGGCCATTTATAGAACCTGTCTCCACTGATGATGTAAGTCACATATACTATATTTATTTTAACGGCCTGTTAGTCTAAAATTTTAAAAATATAGCAAGTAGAGTCGAGGTAATCCTATCTTTTTTATTTATTCATTATTTCAAAACCGTTACAAATGTTTCATTGCAAATTCCCACCAAACCATTCAGGTGGTTTATAGGCGTCCTTTTACACATGTAAACAAAATATCATGAACAAATTACAATGAAAAAACGAAAAAAAAAGCATGAAAACCAAAGGAAATACAAGAATTATATTCAACAAAAACCCTAACTTAACTTAATTACTAACAAAAGATTTCTACAACAGAATTAACACAACAGATTTCTTAGTTTCCTCTTTAGTAAGTTTTGTTGACAAATAATTACACTGTACTTTACAATACAAAGTTCACCTTTCAAATAATGTATTGACCATTTGTTCCCAGGTGCCAGATTACTTAGACGTGATCAGTGAACCGATGGACCTGACCCTGGTGCAGGAGAAGCTGTCCGAAGGACAGTACTCTGCGGACGCGGAACTGCTGGCGGACGTTGCGCTCGTCTTCAACAACTGCTTCACATACAATAAGGATACCCATCCTGTTGCAAAGTATGCCCTGACTATTTAAAAAAATATTTTGTTCAATTGAATAGATATTTATTTACTAAATTACAGAAACTTGTAAATGCTTTCAGTTTCAAATTATGTATTTTCAAGTATAAATACATGTTATTGACGGATAAGTAGAGATATATGATTTTGAAACCTAAACCATATACAAGTCTCAACAGTTTTGTAACTACATTGCAATTGACTGTACAATTTCCAATGAGTAACATTATTTTAGAAACTTTTAAAAAAAAATCAGATGCAGAGAAAAAGGATATTTCACCTACCTACGTCAAAATAATTTTTCCCATTCTTTTTCTGTATTAACCCTTAACTTGGCAGAATTTTATTATTTCAAATATCAAAATAATATTCATAGCACTTAACCTTGATGACCCAAGGTGTCTAGAAAAAATAATAAAAAAAAAATTCTGATGTATCTCTACAGATACACTAACAAGAAAAGGGTTTAAAAGGGTAAGAAGGAATAATATAAGGCCTCCAGTACACACATCAGATTACGCGGAATTGTTTCCACTTTACTCCTGTCTTATATGTGGTATTGCCAAATTCATGCAAACAATGTTATTGCGGACTCTATAACTTATATGAACAATAAGAAACAATTCTTTAAAAATGTAAATGTTTACTACCAGAACTATAACATGAATATCTTGCACAATTTGCTATTAATAATCAATAATCTCTTCCAGAGCTGGCTACCGACTAGAGAAGTATCTTATAAAGCGATGCACAGAATTAGACCTGCCACCTCTACCACCGACTGTCCTGGATGATGAAGTAGAAGAACCAGTTAAGCGGAAGTACCAGGATGAGATTGATGAGGACCCAAAAGCAAAGAGAGTGAAAATTAAGTGAGAATAAAAATGGTCGCATCTGTCTGTGGTGTAATGAATGTAGTGATTGTGATAATGTTTGTGATTATAGTGACAGACGGACAAATTGCTGTATTTAATATCTATAAAGACTCCAAACTTAATGGATTAAGTTTCAAGGTAAGTTGACACAAATATCAAAGTTGCGTTTCACTTTGTTCTTTTCTAAAGATGGGAAGAGAAGTGAATTTGACAGAGCTTGGGATGCAGAAGAGGAAGTATCCCCTTTCTGTGTCTATCCTCAGTTGATAAAAGATTTTTGCTTTTGATCTATTTCGGCAAATAAGAAAATTGTCTTTTATGTTGTTTAGTTTGTAAACCTTTGATTTGACAAATTTGTAAGCTCCTAAGTAGAATATGGTAAGCCATTGGCATTTACAACTTGTTTCTTGTTAAATTAACTTGATAAATTCTCATTTAAAGTAACTGAATGAACTGTAGATTTGAGTCGTCTATTGTATGTTTATGATCCTTCGTAATTTTTTTATTAATGTTTAAAGTTTTGTTTTACAAAATTTACGTTATAAACTCATGATCATTTACGTAGGGGCCACCAATATATTCAAGCGTCGGGTAATTCCCGAAGGGCCGATCATCTAGAGGGTTATTTTTTTCTCATTGGTTCATGGCCAAAACACTCCGTCAACTACAAACCCATTGTTAGAACTTAACTTATATTTTGTTAATGTATTTATTTCTAACCTAGCTTTGTATGTTGTGATTTTTATTTTGCAAGGTTATTTTATTATACTATTTGGTGTTTACATGATTATTAGTTCAAAGAAACTGGCATATTAAATTTTTTTAAGTGCAAAGGATTGTCACAAATCTTAAATAGTACTGTAAAATTGATTTTAATTATTATATGACCATTTTGATGTTAAAATTCTATGGACATTACAAAATTTTGAGTAATACAAACATAAAACGACTGGATCTGCGTAATGATAATATACTCTTCATTACAAAAGTATTTTTGACTTCTTAATTAAGATATATGAATCATAAACCTTTTTTTCTTGTTACTTAAATACTGAAAAGCTGCTAAAGTTGTAAAATATTTGCATGTGAATGTAAATGGACTTCTTCAATGGCACGATTTTTGCTTTCGATACTCCTGACTATTGATGTATGAAGTGTGAAATTTATATTGATTGAAAAAATTAGATTTAATTTTTGTTATTGTTATAAAATTGGTTATGTGAATAAAAGACACCACTAATTAATGTCATTAAAAAATAAACAAAGTGTATAATATCAATAAGATTTTGTAAAAGCACAATGTATATAAACAACAAAATAAACGGTTTTTATGACCAAATGTCATAAGAAAGGGAAAAACAAAAAAATCAAACAGTAATCTTGTTTAAAAAAAAACTACTTTGTTACTTATGTAAAAAATAATAACCAAAGTGAAAAATACAAATTTAATTAGGATTATTAATATTCCACTAAATTTTAAGTGTAAATATAATTTTTAAACTTAGATTACGAACTTAATACTCTAATGGTGTGTTCAAAAGCCACAGAAAGTGCCTGTCGCTTCTGTATTGAAGTCAATTCATTAATAACTTAGTCTTCTATATGACTTTTATGATATATTTAAGAAATTGAAAAAGCGAACTTTGCATTGAAATACAAAATTTTGTGATATGTATGGACATTGAAGTGCAAATAAACTGTGTGTATGATTATTCTATATTTGTACTGCAAACCATTATAATATACAAAATCAATTAATGTCAACTAACTAACCTATAAAATTATTTTGAAAATAATTTAAACAAATTGGCTTCAGACATGTTAAACTATTTTTTGGTGTATTTGAATTTTCTTTTTGTTTATGTCTGGTCTATTTAAATTTTTAAAGCAAGGGTCGCTAAACTGCAACTCTGTAAGGTTATTTTTGACATAAAAATTGTCTATATATATATAAGGTATGTTTCAAAGTATATTTTAAATATCTTATTAGCGATGATTGTATTGCAAAAATCCCAAATTTATAAGAATGGCTCACACTACTCGGCTGCCCTTGTTATAGTTAATTTAATTGTAGAGAATATAATATTTATATGTATATGCTTTACAATATTGTTCAAATAAATCGTAAATAAAAGTATGGTCACTTTGACCAACTGTGACATAGTTGTTATGAAATCTGTGCATTTAGTGTTTGGACCTCATTTAATTGTGTATTGCTCATGATTGTTATTTTCTTGTGTAAAGTTTAGATTTAAGTTGTGAAAAAATAATGTCAATTTCGAATTATCAGTGTTTTTTTAACGGGATCTGTTTTGTTTTTGGTTGAAAATGTTATTCAACTATTAAGGTAAATTTTTTTTTTTATCTACACTGAATGTTTTTTTTATTTAGTATTATTATTTTTTAAACTCTTTGAGAAACCTGGCCAAAGGCGACATTTACAGTTCTATTCAGAATCATTGTTTTTATTTCTCACGTTGTTACTATAATTGTAATTTGCTTGTTTTTATTATATGACATAATCAGGAATATGTAAAATTCTGTGAAATCCAATGCTTAATATGAAACTAAAAATTAGTGTTGTAAATTTTGAAGCAAACTTGTGCAGGTTTTGCATATTCTTGGTTACTCTATACTTGGAAAACTTAATATCAGCAAGTCTGTCTACTGCTAAAGCCACAATATTTATTACAAATATTTAACTTTGTAATCTTCATTTCAAGCTATGCTCAGGTAGTTTTAGTTGAAATATGCCATTTTGTATAAAATAATGTGAATATCAAAGCTGCGATCAAATTGCATTCCTTTAATAAATGTTAACTTCTCGGATTTTTTCAAGTAATCAGTCATTGTTTGCCAGCGAATATTTATTGTGTAATTTATAAGTTTGATAATAATTTATATTGGTAGCCAATAAAGGAACATCAAAATGAAGAATGTTTTTATTCCATACTAGCTGTTCCCGCGCGGGTTCATCCGCATGAAATTAAGAAATTTTTTTATTGTTTACATTTGTTAAACTATCAATAGCAAATGTCAAAATGACATGACATGACAAACCTTGACAATCTTGCTTCCTTGATGTTGGCAGCATCTTATGATCTCTTTCCCACATTATGGTTTTTATCCGAATTATTTACCCCTTAAGTTTAATGGCAGTAAAACATATAGCTTAAAGCGTGACGTAAGTGTAGGGCTTTTTATCAAAAAAAGAATTATTCAAAAATATGCTGTAATTGCTGACATCTTAGGCAACAAAGAAGTGTGTGTTTACGCTTTATTATAATAGTATAGATTATACACTTTTTCATACTAATTTTCTAGATTTGTATTTTCGTATATGGATAAACTAGAAAACGACTGTACTTTCAAAACTTTTTTCACCATAAGAAAGCTCTATTGTCTATGAGTAACATAGTAATTACTAGAAGTTTTTTTAATTCCGCTCGAAGTCATGTATAAAAGCTACTATTTGCTGGGTTCAGTAAAACAATGTTTATAGTATAACATTTACTAAACAAAGGTGTGCAATCTTTCCTCCTACATAAAATATTGTTTGCAATTTAGTTTATTCAAAAATAAAATGTAAAAGAAACAAAAATCGAACTAGAACATGATTTAATTTAATTCTTAAAACATAAATGGTATTGTTTTAAATTGCAGCTTGGCCCTATTGTATTCAGTGATGGTGCTCAGCAGCCTCCTTCCTCCTGATTTCTGCCCACTTGCTGACATTCTCGGGAGAGTTAGCTGTAACAAATTGTATAACATTATTTATTGATTTAGGTCTATGCTTAGAGTCAGATAGCAGTAAACTTATGCAAAAACTTTAAAGCCTACAATATTGGTAGAACAGCTAGCAAGTCTCAAAATACAATTATGACTTTGTGTTTTTTGTAAATTATCACCAGATTTAGTGACTGACTCTAACTTCACTTAATTTGGGTAAAGATTTTATTAAGAAGGCATTTTAAATTTGTTATAAGCTTTAAGATTTGAAACAGTTTGAGATGTGATAAATGGTCCTGACATGATGGACCTATCACTAACTAGTATTAACAGCTAGGTGTAGGAATATAGAGAAGGGACGTATACCAGGATTGTCAATTAAAATGTAGTTAACATTCTAATATTGCATTAATTACTGTTATAGTGAATAAAAGTATGTTCTTACCCATTTTGTGGATCTTGTAGAAGATTGGCAGAGATACACCAATTCCGATGAACCAGTAACGCCAGACCCATTGGTTCTGTAGATAATATTTAAGGGGGAACTGCGCAATCTTTGCCGAAAATGTGTAGGGGAACTTCATAGGGCGGCGCGGAACGTCCGTCATGGTTGCTGATGGCCTGCTGAAAATGGAAAACACCAAAACTTATTATGTAATAAGGGTTGTTAGTAAAAGAAATGTAGAGAATGTTATAAGGATATATCGTCTCTAAATGGCGAGACACCTCAATTACTTTGTATTAATACCGTAGTTATTTGAATTCTGTTGAAACTTGTACAATAAATAATAATTTTATATTATAGAATCTAACCTGTCTTTCTTTTCAAGATTACAACCAACACAGATTAATAAAATTAGCAAACAGAACAGAACATCAAATAGCTGTTGTGTTGCTCGTTTATCGCGGATTGATAAATCGATCGAAGAATATTATTGAATAACTTGATACTGCGTCTTTTTAACGAAATTAACAAATAAAACATACATGTTTCCAGATATTTTAAGATAAATCACAATTTTCTTATGCATATGACTTTTTATACGACTTTCACGGCCGGGTAATATTTTAATTGGCAATACTCAGTTGGTTTATCGGAGTCGTTGGTTTACTGCTGTCAAATCAAATGTATTGGATAAAATGTCAACTCGTTTTGTAGAGTCGTATTTGTGTTAGATGTGATTTTTAAAAATATCTAATTTTTACAATATAATGTGTGACAATGGCATCTGTAAAGGTAGCCGTAAGGGTTCGCCCATTCAATCAAAGGTAAGTTGATAATTATATCCTAATCGGATAATATTTAGAATTAAAATTTATTTGTAACAAAACTAGACAATACATTTTCATGTTTTGTACGCCCATACAAGTAAAATACAATAATAGATGTCATAATGACCAAAGCAATGTCGTATTGCAGTTAAATGAGATATTTATGACGTTTAAGGAAGGGTTTTAAAGTCTTATTAGGTTTTTGAAAGTGCAAAAAGTGTATGATGTCATGAAGAACGGCAATGACTTTCACGGTTGGAGTGCATTTGGAGCGCGAACTGTACTTCGGCAGATCATTTAAATGAAAGTTGCCAAAAAAATGCAAAAAGATAATGACCCAGTTACAAAGAACTATAATTTATATAAGGTTGAATTTTGCTTGAGCATAAAGTTTTTATGCAATGTGTTTATTTCCTTTTGTTTACTAACAAATGTCTGAGCGTTTACATTGGGTGTCAGATTGTCTTATGCTATAAACAGTTTTTTTATTTCTCATGTGATTACAAATGGCTGTTTCATATAAGATTCATGTTAAATGTTATGAATTAAATATTTACAAAGCCAATAATTACTTTAAATAAAAACAGTCATGGTAAAAATGAAACTTATATTTACTTCAAAATAGCCCATATTTTAAATTTTGTAAAAAACTAACATTAATTTCATCGAATGGTATTTAATTCTGTTTTAAATATCCATCATATAAACTTTGTTATTTATAATCTGTACTCCATATATCTTTATTTCTTATTTTCTATACAGTACATTTTAAAAGATTTGATATAAAAATAAAATAGAATATAAATAATAGAGCACCACCGGCTGCAGAATCCGATGACTCAAGCAACCAGTGGTCAGGGCTGCAGAGACAGGAACCTCTTCACTATGCGTGCGGTTTCTAAAATAACCGCCTTTTGAATCAGGCCCTTAATCCAACTGTCTAGCGAGAGCTTCTTGAGGTGTTGGTCGAAGCTTATTTATAATATAAGTATGACTAGAAGTGTATTTAATATTGTTTTGTTTTTTAGGGAGAAGGACATGAATGCAAAACTCATTGTTCAAATGGATGGCAAAAAGACAAGACTCCTCACTGTAAAAGTAAGTGTTTTCTTTTTCCAAAGTAGGGGACCCATGGAAGGGGAAGTATCCACTTATCATAAATTAAAAGTGCGCAAAGTATTACAAATCAAAACATTTAATTGTAATGTACAAAATTGCAAACACTGACCATAATATTGATCACTTATACATTCAGTATCCCTTTCTTGTCTAGTTTCACTATTTAACTAACTTCAAAAAGGAGGAGCTACTCTCTTCAATAAGTTACTATGTATGTATATTGTTTATGCTGCGATTTAAAATTCTTTTTTGGTTGGTGCGGAATAGTCATTTTTCCTACTTTCAAAACTAAAAGATATCCAGTAGTTGTTTAGTGTTTAAAAAGTTTACGAAAAGTACGATTTTTTTTGTCTTGAAGTGAGTTTTTGTTTATTGTTAAAAACATAATCGCTAATATTATAAATGTGAAAGTTTAGATGGATGGATGTTTGTTAGTGTTTGTAGTCTAAACTGCTGAATAGATCTCGATGAAATTTGCCATACATGTAGAGGATACTCTGGAAGAATATAAAGGCTACTTTTAAGTACATGCGGACGGAGCCTCTGGCGAAAGCTAGTGTTAAAATAATAGTGGTATGGAATGTGTTGAATTTATGAGAATAAAAGCACAAGCAAGTAGCTGTTGAAAAAAAAACAGTAACAATAGAAATTACAGTATCATTTTCCTTCCTGACTGTATAGTGACATATTATTATTTGGTTGTTACTCATACCGACCTTTGTGTGTACTCAAGTGTTTAATCCACTTGCAGGCCAGTTATTTTCTTTAATTGTTTCCTTGTTCATTTAATTGCAGCATGCAAATTAAGTAATTGTGTTTATGTTAAAGTGATATTACAGATTATAAAATTGTTTATTGAATTGGATAATTTTATGTTAAAATTGTAACTCTATGTCAAATTAACTATAGAATGCACTCTCCTTGAAGAAATTTTTATTACTTATTTCTTGTATTTTATTTTAATGTTATTTATCTTAGACTAGTTCAGTTACAAGAATGTCTGTGCGAAATTTAAAAAAAAAATCGCTTATGTGTTCTTCCAGACTATATTCCACACTTATAGCAAATTTAAATCCAGATACATGCAGTTTTCGTATTACGTGATAACAAATATCCATCCATCCAAGTAACAATTTTAAAATTCTTAAGACTAAGAGCTAGTTCCTAATACAATGAATATATTAAATATTCCAACTGATTAAAATCCAAGGCGACGAATTTAAGATGAAAGCAAAACCTGTTTGTTTATTTGTGTCCTGTGTCTAAACACTAAATAAAAAATCCTATCTGTATCTCATTGTAGAAAACGTTATTTTAAAAGCAATTACTTATTTCATAGTCTTTAAATAGAATAAAATAAACAAAGTAAGTTATAAAAACTCCAGCCCTTCGTTATAAGTGACGTAGTCCACACATACCACACACGACGTACGTACTGTGACGTTGTAACACAACCTTACTGTACACCGCCACTTATAACAGTGTTTTTTTTTTAATTCATGTGATTGAAACAAAATAAATAGTCTATTGTCTATCAGTTCCAAATTATTTTCTCCAACGGTGATTAATGACGAGAGACGTTTATCCATCCATACATTTCGTATTTATAAACACCGGGGAGGTGCAAACAATGTTGTTGAAAACTTAAGGTTGAGAACCACTGCCCTAAATAGATTTCAAATATAAAATACAAAAATCCATGTAACTCGTCTTATCCATTTTAGTTTGTCATTTCACGAAGTCGCAAAATCCTTTAAATTGTAATACTTTTCTTAATTATACTTTGTTACTAAAATAGCCGGAAGGTCAATAACCAAAGCAAAATACGGTACCTTTAAGTGCTCCGGCACATTAAATATATCGTTTTTATGTAACGCATGTCGCGATAACAGCTGACGATCAAAGTTACCGTGAGCACAGATGCAATAAATATACGTCTCTTTCACTCCTTGCCCAAAACAAGGATAACAATATGGGTAAGTGGGGATAAATGCACTTTTTACAAAAATAAATCAATGAGTGACCATGTTTCCACATTGCCGAATCCTACCCTATCCTACGTTAGCTAAGGAAGTGGAGAGATACGGTTAGAAAATACTGTATTGCAAAAGTATTGACGAGAATCTTATTTGGGTTTTTAAATATGCTTGAATTTAAGTTAATTAAATATAATTTTTATTTTACAAAAGTTGTCTATCTATAGTTTAAAAACATTCAATAACTAAATAAATTGATTTCCATTGAAAATGATCATATAGGATAATTTAATTTGTCCTTTTGTGTAAATACTCGACGTTTTTGAGCTGGAAATATAGTATCAAGGTCATATGTCTACGTATTGTATGTTCAGCTGATTTTCAGCAGTTTATAGTTTTATTACTTAGCGATAATCAACGAATTTTCCATCACTCTGTAGATATTATCAGTATTACGCTATCCTGATATTGTCTACTAGCTTTCGCCCGCGACTCTGTCCGCGTAATTAAAAAAATAAATCTAAGTAGCCTATGTGTTCTTCCAGACTATCCACATGCAAAATTTCGTCGTTATCCGTTAAACCATTTAAACTACGAACACCATCAAACATCCATCTAAACTTTCACATTTACAATAGTACAGTAGTAAAATAAATAAATAATAAATAAGTATAGTAAAAAATAAGATATCTTATTTCCATACATTATGTTACACAGTAACAATGTTTTGTATTGGCTAAAAATTTTTCTTAAATCAGTCCAGTAGCTTCTGAGTTTATTCGTGACACACACAGATATAAATCCTTCCTTTTTAATAGATTAGTCGAGATAACGTAATACTTTTGTTCTCAGAATAGCAAAGAGCAAAACGATGGCAGCCGGGAGAAATACAAGGATTTCACATTCGACCATTCCTACTGGTCTTACGACCATGGGGACAGTCACTATGCGTCACAGGAACAGGTAAATATGCACTAGTACAAAATCCATTTTTAATCAATGACCAATGACGTCATCTTTCATACTTGTTCGTCCAATTGTTTTTAAACATTTATGCCGTGTGGGTGTGTGGTAAGGTATTTGGCGGGGGTTAGGACTAATAGGGGCAATATCTTCCATCTGTGCGTCCTCTCCTTTGATAAAAGGCGACGCATCTGCAAATGCGGATGTCTTTGGCAGCGGTTTTACTGCTTTCGCGAATTCCGATGGCCCCTTGCTCGTTTGTTACCTTGTACTATAAAAAAATTAAACGCTCGTCAGATAAAATGCATATAAATTCACTTACGTCTATATCACAAACTTGTCGATAACAATGTAATTGATATTGTCATTTGAATATACTATCAAAATGTGTTTTACGATAAACATGTGAGTGATTAAATTTACTGCATCCATTTGATATTGAAGTTTTACGGAATTTAACTAATTTTATACTGAGCTACTAAAAATAAAGCGTGGGAAAATGTAACGTTTGCTTATATTGTGTGTGTGACCCTGAATTGGAATGAATCAGTCTAGGTGCTATTTAAATGTAAAACATTTGATTCTATATACATAAGTAGTCTGTGGTTCTCAAAGTGATCCAGATCCCTGGGATCTTGGGACCTCGACGAGAGATCACGATTGTTGGAAACTTGGGGAAACCGAGTTGCAAATTTTGATCTTCTCTTCTCAGTAAAGGCCACATCAGACAGCACAACTCCATTTGGTTTTGCTGTCCCCTGAAATCATTATTATAAGGGGTCCATGGAGAATAAAAGTTTGGGAACCTCTGGCATAGATCGTTGCTTTATTACTATGCGGATTCTGGAAAAGGTTGTTATTTATCAAAAATAATATATACTATCAGCTTTTGACCAGTTTTACATAGAAATCTCTACAAGGAGACGCAAATTAAACTGTATCGCAAGTTGCAATCAGTTCACTGCTGGATATAAAATCTTTTTTAAATACGCTGTTTTCATTTGGAAGACATAGTTTATGAATGCAAACTATAAACAGTTTGTATTAAAATTCTAACAGAATTAATATCACTTGTAACAATAGATCACTAGCGCAGAAACTATTTGTCTGCCTACGTCATCTACTATTGTTCACATTGTCGTGATGTCTCGCAATACTAGTATAACAATTCCCTAAATAGTAATTTAGCTCTCACGGGCGCTTATTTAACGCGTGAAAATAAATGTTCAACGCGCGTTATAATAACGCCCCTATGAATCTAGACTTAATGTCCATATCGTAATATAGAGCAGGTATTCAGGTATTATTTTTACTCCGGTAATCCCGGAACTAAGATTGGATATTTTTATCGATCACCTGAGTGCAACGCATAGTGTAATATAAACAATGTTGTTTATCCCATCGGCTCGGCTACGGCGCTGTGGACTGTTATACTCAGGCCGTGGGCGTCGGTTCGAATCAGATGGCCTATCCGGCGAATTGAACTAACTCGGTCACGGTGTTCGTTTACATCCTTTGTTATAAGCATATGAAGATTTATCTAAGATAACACAGTCATAAGAGAGTACCTCTATATAATTTACGTTTTGTTAGTTGTACCTGTCAGCCTGACTTACGTTATGTAATCCTGGTACTTTCTTGGGCGAACTAACCTTTAAACATTGAAACTACTGGCAAATGTTGTCACCATAAAATTTTATCACGTTTGTATTTAGTGTGTTCTGGTGGCTGACTATGACGTCACGGCCGCATAAGGTGCGGTTCGTTGACACGCATTGTGGGATACGAATTCATTTCCGTTTGGGAATGTGGCGTACGCGAAATTACCCGATTGCAATCTTAATTGTATGTTAGTTCATTTGTCACTCTCAGAATCCTAAAGGTTATTTTAGCACTCGCTTAGTGCAGATTAGTTTTATTAAATCTTCATTTAGTTCTTGTTCTGCTTAGTGATATACATACGAATAAGGAAGATACAAACATAATGTTCACAGGAAGATAATGCCAATGTCACTAATTTTAATGCGATGTCGATATATTTAAATGTAAATTATTCAACCAAAATAAACAACTTAAAAATGCATAGCATTTTATTATAAGCTTTATTTATCTTACTTCCTATCATATTATAATAATTTTGATTAAACTGCATATGCATTAAAAGTCATACAAACTTTGAGGGACTGTACCAGGATAACAGGAGTGTAAGAGAGCCATATGATTTTATTGTGTACTGTTCAGGTGTTCTCTGACCTGGGTGTGGACGTCATTGACAGCGCGTTTGAGGGCTACAACGCGTGTGTGTTCGCATATGGACAAACCGGCAGCGGGAAGACATTCACCATGATGGGATCTCCGGTAAGTGTAACCTACCTCTAAAATTTACTCGTAAATGTCATCAAGCACCCCAGCTGAGTCTTCCTGGAGCTCAGGGGGTCATTGCTTTAGTCTAAGGAGTTCATCTTCCATCAAATCCAGTACCCAGCCGTCTAAATTTGATTAGTTATCTTAGAAATTACCAGGATAACATAAGTGTGGCCTTGACTATATTAAATATTAGTCAGTTTTTAAAATGTTATGCATTTACATGTAAGTAAATTGTATTTTATCTGTAACAAAATCGCTTGCTATCACGACGTGATGTGATAACGATATACGTCACGCGTCACTGAATATTGACAAGATGAACAGGACTAGGCCATTTATCAGTACTAATAATGAACTCTTCTTAGTACTATCTCCTTTGTATTCTAAGTATCCCTGACGAGTACATTACAAAGAGTTTGTTATTTAATTTTAAACGATAAGTGCAAAGTTTGTTAGGCTTGCAATTTTATAGTCACATCTGAATCATGCACAATTGACCATTATTGTAAACTGACTAGTAAGCCATCCGTATTTAATTGTTTTCTAAGCAATCTGCATGATAGCACATATAACGCGATAATGATTCTATAATTCTTTTCTTAATAGCTGACTCACGCGATTTAACGACAAAAATCATTTAAGATTCGCTCGGGTTTCTAATGAGTCATTGTCGATTTCGTCGCTCGCCCAGTGTAAACAGCCGAATTTGTCATGCCTTTGTACTTCTTATTACTTTCGGAACAGGTGAAGGTGAACCGTTCGCTTTGTTACAAAAAGAAAATATAGAAAACTGTCACGTCCGGGGTACTCGGAGATTGGATGCAATAGTTTATTTGGTCAGATGATGTGTCAATTTTACGGCAGATAACTTTATAGTTAAGAATTTTATTTTTAATGCTTTTCAGTTAATAGATGAAGCGCCATCGCTCGTTAATATTGAAAGTATATTCAATAGCCAATGTTTAGGTCAAATAAGCAAAATGGCGATATTGAAAGAGAGAAATTACAGAATTTATGGTAATTTTTCTAGGAATGTCAAGGTCTTATCCCGCGGATATGCCGGCAACTGTTCTCCCGTATGGCGGCTGGAAAAGAGTCAGGTTCCTCCTACCGTACGGAAGTCAGTTATCTGGAGATTTACAACGAACGCGTCAAGGACCTGCTGTCAGGGGATGCAGGGCACTCCCTAAGGGTCCGAGAACATCCCAAACTAGGACCCTATGTGCAAGACCTCTCAAGACATCTTGTATCGGATTATGATGACATACAGGTCTGAAGTTATCTGTTGCATAGAATTTGTTTATTTTAGACGTTTTTCCTAATTTTCTTTTTATTCTGTTGTACTAGGAGTGCATGACCCGTGGCAACCAGCAACGCACGACCGCGTCGACGCAGATGAACGATGTTTCGTCTCGCTCGCACGCCATCTTCACGCTCACATTTGTGCGTGCCGGGTACACGCGTCACAACAACATGCCTAGTGAGACTCTCTCCAAAGTGCACCTCGTCGACCTCGCCGGCAGGTGAACTATTGACCTACTACTGTGTTATGATCGCCTGGTACTTTTTAAAGAGATTTCATTATCCCTTCTCTCTCTTACTCATTATTTCACACATGCTTCTGTCTCACTCACATACACTCTCTTTCTTTCTCTTCTGGTTTATTTGCCTTTTTATAGTTATTCCACAATTTAGAAGACCGGAGATATAGATGTTAGGTTGTTACAGCGAGCGTGCGGACGCTACGGGCGCGACAGGTCAGCGGCTGGTTGAGGGCGCGCACATCAACAAATCCCTCGTCACCCTCGGCTCCGTCATCTCTGCGCTTGCAGAATCAAGCCAGCAGGCTGACAGTTAGTCAAAATATTTAAGACCTAGGCATAAGAACTCTCGAATGACTTGAATCGCTAATTTAATTATTTTTTTTAATTTTCAGTTCGTACACAAAAAACAAAGAAGAATGTGTTCATCCCATACCGAGATTCCGTATTAACATGGCTCCTTAAAGATTCCCTTGGCGGTAATTCCAAGACAATCATGATTGCTGCGGTGAGTAAAAATGCGTCTTATACCCTTCTGCTTAAGATACATTTTTGTATGTTCCGGACAATGCATGCTAAAATGAATCTTATAACAATGTGTTTATGGTGCATTTTGTCTTTTTTCCAGATATCTCCAGCGGATTGCAACTACGGTGAGACGCTGTCGACGCTACGCTACGCCAACCGCGCTAAGAACATTATTAACAAGCCCACAATCAATGAGGATCCAAATGTGAAGCTTATCCGCGAGCTGCGGGATGAGATCGACAAGCTGCGTGCGCAGATCACACACAATACGGTAAATAAATAGAGGAAATGTTTTCCATATGTAAGTTTTTATTTATGTGTGTTTGTATGTAAATTCCATTGTGACGGGAAATCTTCTACATAAATCTTTTTTTTATTTTTCGTGTTCTTAAATAAGAGTTACTTAGTTTAAATTTAAAATGTATAAATCTTTGTTTTAAAACGCAACCAACAGATGGCGCTATTTCATCTTTATCGTCCTTGTCAATTTTTTTCATGTTCAATTTTTTTATGACCAGAACCCCGTGGAAGCAGAACCCGCGGTGCTAGCGACGTTACAACGTAAAGAAGCACAGGAGAAAGTCCTGACAGAGAAGTGGACAGAGAAATGGCGCGAGACACAACAAATCCTGCAGGAACAGAAGGCGCTGGGGCTGCGCAAGAGTGGCCTCGGTGTAGTGTTGGACTCTGATATGCCACATCTTGTCGGTATCGATGACAATTTGCTGTCAACTGGCGTCACGCTATACCATCTTAAGGTAAGTTTTTATCCACTTAGGATTAATATTATTTTTACGAATTTCTCTCATTTATCATGACTATTAATATTGTAAATGCGAAAGTTTGCTGCTATTTATCTAAAATGGTTGAACCGATCTTGATGGAATTTGTCACAGATGTAGAACGCTTCTCTTACATCCATATTTTCTTCAAAAATTTCATTGACTTCCGTTTTGATACGATATGTAGCAATGGTCATCAAAACTATTGCATTTCTAATATTAGTATGAAGTATTTTTGTGTATTCAGGAGGGTGAAACAGTGATAGGAAGCGAAGAGCTATCTCCGACTCCGGACATCGTACTGAGCGGCGCGGGCGTGCTGCCGCTGCACTGCCGCGTGGTGCTGCGCGAGGGCGTGGCCACGCTGCTGCCAGCGCCCGCCGCGCAGTGCTGGCTTAACACTGTCTTGCTGGATGGACCCGCGAAGCTCAGCCAGGGTAACATAAATAGAAATATAATTAAACGAAAGAGAAATAGAATGTTTCCCGTTTCTATACGTTCTGCCTTATCAAAACCATTGTCACGTCAAAAGTTGCCGGCGTCTGTTTTATGAAGTCCTAGTACGACAGAGTTATATTTGAAGTTGTTGTTCCAGGTTGCATCTTGCTGTTAGGTCGCACCAACATGTTCCGCTACAACGACCCGGCGGAGGCGGCCAAGCTGCGGCAGGGGGGCAGCGCCTCCGTCATGAACCTCTCGCGCCTCTCGCTGCTCTCCTGGTCCACCACAGACCTCGCTGCTAGTACTGAAAACCTCAACACCACATTATCGTATGTATCCATACTTATTTAATTTTAACTATCTTACGGCTGCGACTCCGTTCGCGTGGAATTAAAAAAAAAAACAAAAGTGTACTAGCCTATGTGTTCTTCCAGACTAAGCTCTGTCCTTACATCACCTTTGTCGAAATCCGTTCAGCCGATTAGGCTACAAACTCGTAACATCTATCCATCCATTCATCTAAACTTTCGAATTTATAATATTAGTATGAAGAATGATTTTTATAAAATCTCGTATGCGTGATTTAAAATGACTATAACGCCATCTATCAGTATCGATTAAAAATATTTTAGTATGATAGTAATAGATAGTTTTTCCAGTGACCTGGAGAGTGAGATAAAGTGCGAGCGTATCGAGGCGCAACGCGCGGAGCTGGAACGCGAGCGCCAGCAGTTCCTGCTGCAGCAGCAGGAGCGGCAGCGGCGCTGGCATGAGGAGCGGGAACAGCTGCTAATGGCGCAGAAGAAACTCGACGAGGTCAGTCATCAGCAGAATAGAACTTAAAATAAACGAAAAGCGGACACCGGCTGTGTTCTTCCAGACTTCCTTCTAAGAAACGACACGGTCGGCACAACCGGTTTTTGTCCTCCATATAACTCTATCATCCGTCATCTCAGTCATCACTCCCTTGATCTTGTCACCTTTCACGCAATCCATCCATCTCTTTCTAGGTCTACCTCTACCGGTGTACCCTTCCACACTCATAACTAACGTTCTCCATGTAACATGCGATAGTTTATAAGATTAGTAAGATTTTTTTACCGACTTCCCAGAAGAAGGAGGTACTCAATTTATCTATATGTTTTTTTTATAGATTCTATATTATCGGTGTATTATTTAGGAGCGTTCAGCAATGGAGCGGGAGTACGCTGCAGCATGCCGGCGGCTGTCGGGCGACTGGCGCGCGCTGGAACGCGGCTGGGCGCTGCGCAGACGCGCGCTGCGCTGCCGACAGCGAGAGCTGGCAGCGCGCGTGCAGCGACACGGCGCCGCGGAGGTTGCGGCGCGCGCACACGTGAGTCATACTATCCTAGTACCAGGTACCAGGAGAACAGCGCTGTACAAGGAGTTTCAGTTAACGCTTGTGGATCCCAAACCTTATTTTTTTTTGTAGAATAAAAAGACGCGTTACCTCGGCTTTTTTAAATAGGATTGAAAGAGATGACAATATTTTATAGTTTCGTCTATTTTCTTATTTTAAATATTTGACTATTTCATGAACGTGATGTATACAAGTTTTATATTAAATTTCGTTCATGGTTAACTTTCTCCGTTTAACCTTCACGTGACAAGATATAGTTAAAACATCTCAGTAACGCTATCGTAACATTTATTTAGCAATAAAGCGATAATGTTACACATACGAGGTCGATGTACTATACATTCTACTGCAGATACGACTACTATTGGTTTTCGAACTGAGTGAGAATCATTCGAGATTTTAATACAAGAGAAGTGAGTTTTAGATGAAATATTACAATTCGATTTTATTCCAGAAATATTTAGTCTGAATTGCAGTTTATATTGATCTGTTTTTTATATTAGTAATAAAGTCTTGTAGTCGTTATTGCATTTCAAAACTCGAGCTTTTGTATTGTAAACAATCAACTTATAGAATAGTCAAAAAATCAATCAATATTTGACAATATGTTGGGGTATATTTTTGACCGACTTCCCAAAAGAAGGAGGTACTCAATTCGTCTGTATGTTTTTTTTATATGTGTTATTTTTATCGACATCGCTTCAGTGGATTTAGTTAATCTTAATTCTGAAACCAATAGTAGTGGTTCATCGATGAGCACTCACTTTGCAACAATCATTTCGATTGTTTATATTTTCCCAGCGCTCGGTATTTTTAGCTTTGTCCCACATTGCAGTAGATGTCTTGTTTTGTTGCTGTTTAATTAATTTTTATGGCAACACTTTCAATATTTTAAATAGCAATTTTCGTTGTTTCGTTTTCTGTGTGTTTTTTACTGTAGTTTAAATTAAATGCATTATGAAGCTTGATAAATCAATTTATTGTTGTTTTTATGCTATTATTTATTGTTAATAGAGCACTATTTTTTTATTTAAATACATTCTACTATCTTAATGGTATAAAACTAATTTACGATCTATACAATAAACAAATTAATTATTATTTTGATAATAACGCATTTCTTAAGAATGTGTACTTTTTTATTATATTTTTTAAATTTTCTAGAGTTTAAAAGTAAAAATATTAGTGCTCTATTATTTTGCTTTTTCCCTTGTGTTGCGTAGATAGAAAAAGAGGAGGTTGAGATATCAAATCTGCAAGATAAACTCGTTGTCAAGAGGAAAGAGCTGAAGTCTTTTGTCAAAAACAGCGTCAAGGAACTGCTGGGAAAAGGATTCGAACTGAATAAGGTTTGTTGAGTGGTTTTTTAGTTTATTTTTGTTTGTGATGTGCTTGTAAATTTAAATTACTTTTTATATGCTGTATTTTTAATTATATATTGATTTACTAATTTTTACTGTACTAATATTACTTGTCACTTGTTTTGGCGTTATCTTAAAACTATATTTTATTACATGTTATTTAATTTTCTATCGTTCTCACATTTCTGTTTTATAGTTACTAATTGTATAGTTTGTGCTCGTATTGTCTAATCTACTAGCAGTTCCCTTGCGACTTCATCCGCATAAAATTAAGAAATTTTTATTTTATTCTTTAAATTTGTCAAATTATCAATTGCAAATGTCAAAATTACATGACATGACAAACCATGGCAACCTTGTTTCCTTGATGTTGGCAGCAACTTATGCTCTCTTTCCCACATTAGGGTTTTTATCCAATATATACCCGTTAAGTTTAATGGCTTGAAAATATAGCCTAAAGCGTGACGTAAGTGTAGGGGTTTTTATTAAAAGAAGAATTATTCAAAATTATGCTGTAATTGCTGACGTCTTAGGCAACAAAGAAGTGTGTTCACGCTTTATTATAATAGTACAGAAGTATAGAAATAATGTTTCTTGTAGAGTTCCAGTCCAAGTCCTGATAGTCCTGCGTCGGAGACGTCGACAGAGAGCCTGATGCATTTGCTGCAGCAGTGCGAGCCCAACACCGCGATCACCATCAAGGACACCGTCGACAGGCATGTTAGTACTAAACTACAGTACTATATATAATTATGGTAGGGTAGATAGAAAAATCTGTAACTGAAAAATAAAATTTAGAAAGTATCTTATGATTTTCTTTAAAATAGTTTCATCTGCATTGTATATAATTAAATGTTCTTATTTATTGCGATAAATCATACTCATATTATAAATGCGAAAGTTTAGATGGATGGATGTTTGTTAGAATTTGTAGCCTAAACGGCTTTACGGATTTCGATGAAATTTGGTATGGATACAGAGGATTGTCTAGAACACATAGGCTACTCCCTTTGGTTTTTAATTCACGCGAACGGAGTTGCGGGCGAAAGCTAGTGTTTTATAAATCGATGAACGCCGGCTGCTCACACAAAGTATTGACATATTTCTGAACTTAATGTACAAATAAGATCGCAAGTGATAGAGAAGATTGTATTGTCACGTAAATAGATGGCTTTGAAATCGATTGCAGATAACATTTTTTTTTATTATTTTGTTTAATATTTTATAGAAGAAAGAGTTGGAGGATTTGGAGCAGGAGCTGCAGAGCCGCGTGGCGACGGTGGCGTCGCACCGCGTGAAGGTGGAGCGGCTGCAGGCGGAGCTGGCCGCGCTGGGGGCGCAGCGCCGCGGCCTGCAGCGCGCGCTGCGCGGCGCCAGGCCGGCCTCCGCTGACGCTGGTGACTGTCTTACTGGATACACTGTATAATCACTTACAAAATAGATAAAATAACAACTCATGTTACTCACTGATCATGTAGCTTTTTAATGGTGTAAGAAATTTTGAAATGGACCCAAAAATTTTTAAGTTATTTTAATACAAAAAGAATACCAAAAATACTCGGACTACTCAAAAAAATCCTCTTTATAATATTAGTATAGACTAACTTTTCTCGTGTGGCTTCATCCGCATGGAATTATAAAAAATGTTTTTGACATTGGTTAACATTTACTGTTACCATGGTAACTGTACTGTGCCAGCGTACTGTTGAGGTTGTAAATGATAAATATGTTTGCAGAGCACGACAGCGACACGCCACCGGCGACCCCTACTGGCGTGAAGCGAAGCAAGTCGGAGCTGGTACTGCGCCACGCTCGCAACAACTCCCTCGACACCAGCGATACACTTGACTCTGTCGACCCCCTTTCCGCCGCGGAGAGAGAACTCTTCCAGAACAAGAAGATGAGGTACGCACAATAACAGTCATTTTAATTTCAATACTTATTACAAAGTAACTGATCGCCATTTTGTAATGGCGGCCATCTTGAATTTAAAATATTGGACAAAATTTTACTTTTCATGCCCTTTTGATGTAAAACAAATATTGAAGCGTTTATGCAAAATCGTCATCTGCTAGTTTGTGACAGCCATTTTGGATTTTTTATACACTGTGCCAGTCAAGTCTTTTAATTCAACACCCATGTTAACTTATGTCAAATAAATATTAAGTTAGTATGTCTTCTTGTTACTTGTTTATTTTTGCACTCTCAATTGTTCAGTCACTACAAACTATATCCTCTCTTTATGTATTCCAGCTTGAGTTTAAGTCTAGACCCGCTCCCCTCGCCGAACTCAGCACTCCCCACCGAGGAGACGTTCCACACGGCGACGAGCACTCCCAAGGCGTTCCCCGGAGACTCCGCCCCCGGCTCGCCCTCCGCCCCAGCCCCCGCCGCCGCCCCCGCGCACCCCGACCAGCCCCGCCCCCGCTTCCGCCTCGGCCCCGCCCCGCCTGATGACAGCGATGATATGTCCAGTACTGAGGATTATTGCAAGGTATATACTAATATTATAAAGAGGAAAGATTTGTCTTGTTGTAACCTAAAAACTACTCTGTCGATTTTAAAAATTCTTTCATCATTAAAAGCTATGTTAGAAGTGAGTAACATGGGCTATGTTTTTTATATCACGCGGACCAAATCGCGAGCAACAGCTAGTTATAATGTAATTAAATATATGCCATAATTATTTATCTATCCTGCTACAAGATGGCGCGATTCTGGATTAATTAAGAGTTTTTCGGCCAAGTACTGAAACTATATTTATGTAAATAAAATGTTAAATGATAAGGCGGCTACGCGAAAATTTTATTGAAAGCGACGTTTACGAAACGAATTGAAGTTAGATGAGCTTTATAATTGGGTCGTTTGTGGAGATTCAACGTAGTAAAATAATCAGAAATATTGTATTTCAGCCGAGAATAGTGGAAGGTCAGTCTTCGAGTTCAGTAGAACGTTCGCCTGAAGAAAGACATCAGAGAATCAAATATCGGAAGAGGGTTACAGGTAATTTTGAAGATAATGTACTAAAGAACAGTACCGATAGATGGCGTTGTTAATAATTTTGTATATTTATAATTATTTACCAATATTGTAAATACAAAAGTTTAGATGCATGGATGTTTATTAGAGTTTGTAGTCTAAACGGCTGAACGGGTTTCGGTGAAATTTGGCATAGACGTAGAGGATACTCTGGAAGAACACATAGGCCACTCACTTTTGTTTTTGTTTTTTTAATTCCACGCGGACGAGTCGCGGGCGAAAGCTAGTAATTCATAAAGAGGAAATATGATTGTATGTAATATGCTACGAAACTACTTTACACTTTGCAAAAATATTTTAACTATTTGAAAGACTATCATTGGGTGACATAAGCTAGCTTTTTCCTTCGACAGCATCCGCGCGAAAAAAAAATAGTTAATAGTCTATGAGATTGATACTGATTCTATGTTTCTGTGATAAATTGGAGATGCATTCTAATAAACATCCATCCAAGTAATTATTTTCGTTTCTCTTTTTTTAATTTCAAAAACTTTTTACTTGTTCAGTTGTAAATTGACCTTTATTTATCAGGAGACAAGGGTCGCCGGCAGGTGACGGAGGCGGAGGCGCTGCGCGCGATGCAGCGGCTGTGCTCGCGCATCGCCACGCAGAAGCTCCTCGTCATCTCCTCGCTGGAGAACGACTGCTCTAAGGAGGAATTGAATAGACAAATAGCGGTAAATATATACACTTAATAAGATAATCAAATACACGGTAGACTTACATTCAAAATAGTAGAAATATGAAAAACTAGCTTTCGCTCGTGACTTCGTCCGCGTGGAATAAAAAAGTGAGTATCCTATGTGTTCCAAACTATCCTCTACGTCTACTAAATTTCATCGAGATCTGTTCAGCCGTTTAGGCTTCAAATTCTAACAACATCCATCTATCCATCTAAAATTTTGCATTTATAATATTAGGAGGATGAGCAGCCAATTACAAATCTACGTCTACAGAATTTCTTCGAGTATCATAATCTCGTGTATTTAGCAAATTCTACCTACCTTTTTTTTAGTATTGGGGTGAAATCTTCAAAAAAATACCCTTCCTTCTGGGGGAAGACAGGGTTATGTGAGTTTACCGACTAAACTCCTTCGGTGGCCAGTCTCTAGTTCAATAGAAGACAATTCAATGTAGTGCAATTCTATCTACGTCATCCATTCTACAGGTGCTCCAAGAGCTGCAGAAGAAATACGTCCGGCTAGAGATGGCGCTGCAGTACTCGTTCTTCGACAATCAGGCGAGCAGGAGACCCATCATGGTCACTCCCATACAGGAGACACCTTCCCTCACGCTGTCCGAGAGCGACATGCACGTCGCCACTGAACATAATGAAGAACACACCTTTGAAGATCCTTTACTAAATAGGTCAGTAACGATCATACAATCGATAAGTGTATTTGAGACTTTATGTCTATTAGAATTAAGGATTATGTCATCGCCTCTAATGGTTGTATAAGAATGAGAGGGTAGTTCACATAATAAGCAACTCGTGTAATCTATACAAATGTTATAAGGAAAGATTTGTGTTTTTGTATTAAGAAATTACTCAACAACTATTGGGCCGATTTTAAAAATTCTTTCACTGTTAGAAAGGTAATTTCTCTCTGGTATATCTGTGAGTAACATAGGTTATATTTTTTATCTATCTAGGCTAGTTTTATCTATACTAATATTATAAAGAGGAAAGATTAGTATTTTTGATTTTTTGTATGTATTGAAATAACTCAAAAACTACTAGGCCAATTTTGACCATCAGAAAGGTAATTATATATGTTTTCATTTATTGATGTGCTTTCAGGTTAAAAGAGACGGAAGCGGAGGCGTCGGATAATGTATCGACGTCCAATGACGAGCTGCCGTGCGAGGGGGCGTGGCGCGACCCGCTCTCTGCCGACCCACGCGCGCCCGCCCTGCCCGGCCCCGGCCCTGGACCTCTAAATGTTACTGTTATTTTTAAGTTACTAACAATTTGTTAAGTTAAAGTAATGTTTAATTAACAAATATTCATGTTACAGGATGACACTACAACGCTAGGCCTATCACATCCTATTAATTTTGGTAAGTTGAAATCTATATCATTACTAATATTATAAAGAGGAAACATTTGTATTTTTGGATTTTTGTATGTATTGAGTTACCTAAAAAACAACTGGACCGATTTCAAAAATTCTTACACCATTAAAAAGCTACGTTATCAGTGAGTAACATAGGCTATAGCCTAAAAACATATTTTTATTATTTCACGCGGACGAAGTTAGGAGCAACAGTTAGTTTTATGTAATTACAAAAAAAAAATTATACGTGGTAATAATGTGTTTTGTTTGTAGCGGAGGTGGTGAGCATACCGGGGTGGGTGGTGCGCGGCGCGGGCGCGGGCACGCACCACGAGTACGAGGTGCGCGTGTGGCTCGGCCCGCACTGCCACTGGCAGCTGCTGCGCCGCTACCGCCGTTTCCGCGACCTCTACCTCGCCATGCGCCGCCTCTACGGCAACAAGGTACTGATACACACGCCTACTGCAGTTTTATGAGCTCCTGGTACTTCAGTCTTACCGCTAGGCCACGCCCACATCACATTTTACAGTTGACTGCCACACACACACACCATCGCTGTTGTAGGAGCGCCTGGTACTTCAGACCTATTGCTAGTCACCCATCACACTTCACGCCACGCACACACCTTCAACGCTGTTATGAGCTCTGGATAGCACAGTTCTACTGCTAGGCCACGCCCTCATCACACTACACAGCTCTACTGCTACCCACGCATACACCTCTACTGCTGTTTTATAATATAAGCGCCTAGTACCTCAGTTCTACTGCTAAACCACGCCCTTATCACACTACACACGTCTACTACTATTTATACTGTCCTGGTACTTCTATCTTATACCCGCTATATACTCAGTATTAACTGCGTACACTTTAGTTCAGCGAGAAATGGTTTTTAATGCTTTAACCACACTCAAATTTATAATTAATTTAACTTATTTTCCATTGATAAAACATGCACAATATATAGTCATCTCTTTTTCCTTCTATTTAAAACAACAGAGACAACTATATGTGTAAACGCTATGTAAATATTTATCCTGTTGTAGGTGGCGGCGATCCCGTTCCCTGCGCGTGCGCTGTGGTCGTCAGAGGCGCTGGCGCGCGCGCGGCGGCCGCAGCTGGAGGCGTTCCTGCGCCGGCTGCTGGCTGCGTGTGCGCAGGACGCGCGCTGTCCGCTGCACGCCGCGCCACTCACTAGAGACTCGCTCGTCGCCTTCTCGCCCTTCTTCCGAAAGGTATACTTGTTTACTTTGTAGTCAGCATAACATGTGCAACGAATATTACTATTTGTTTTTGACTAGCTGTGGCATGCGACTACTCCCTCTTGAAATTAAAAAATAGTATAAATATAGCTTATGTTACTCAGTGATAACATAGCTTTTTAATGGTGCAATTTTTTAAGAACGGTCCAGTAATTTTTGAGTTATTTCAATAGAATAAAAGTCTAAAAATACAAATCTTTCCTCTTTATAATATTAGTGTAGATGCGGATATCATATGTAAGTTTGTAAATGTATATATTGATACAGCTGACTACAATCATGGAATACCGCGGTGTCCCACTTTGAAAGAAACAGTCCTTTTATCTCGCTTTCTATTATTCCCATATTTTACGCAATACACTGCTATCTCATTTGTTCTAAGACGATCCGGAGTTTATCTTGTCACAAAATAATAACACCGCGGATTTCAGCGACTGCATACAAGTGTTAAGTTTTTAATATAATAGTGGGCGTGGTTTGTGTCACAGGGCGTATTCGAGAGCGGCAAGTGCGGCACGGGATGATACCGGCCGGAGCTCGCCACGGCGCGCGCGCTGGCGCGGTGCGTGGCGCGACTGGCGCGGCTGGCGGCGGCGGCGGCGCTGCTGCTGGCGCGCTGTCTTGCGCTGCTGTTGCTGCTGCTGTACCTGTGCGCGCCGGCGCACCGCACGCGCCGCAGGTAGGACACGCGCATGCGGACAGCCGACAATAACGGGATTATTCCCAACCGTCACCCCGCTATGTCACCACGTGGGAAAAGATGAGAACAAAAAGTTTCATCCATCCCACCTTTTAGTCCCACTATCACCAATAAGGTGACAGATGGAACCGTTATGAAATAAAATAAGTTCCAACCGTCACCTTGTCGCAAAAGTTGGGACGGATAAAACTTTTTATTCTCATTTGTCCCCACGTGGGGACAGAGCGCGGTGACGGTTGGGAATAATGCGAATAACGCGGGAAAAGGGAACACACAACAATTCTTTACATCTTTAATACTGAAACATTTTACTTTGTACTCCTTAAGTTCGCTACGAACGCTCAGATCTAACTTAAAGTTATGTAGGCTATAACCAAAACTAAAACTGACAGTACAACTGTTTAGAGCACGCACCTTTGACCCAACTATCGCACAACTGTTTAGTCTCTGATTCCTGTGAGCTTATATGAAGGTGCGCACTACTCGATTTTAATTTTGCAACTAAACAAATGAATTGGCTGCGAAACAATCGACAATCGCACAACAGTTGTGCGATAGTTTAGTCAAAGGTTAAATTGTCAGAACTGAACACATGTAGTGGGCTTCAGTCTGAGGGAGGTACATTGTACCTATTTGAATGTCGGTATTCGGTTGTATGTTCAGTAAACATTGTAATTAATAAAAATCGTATTTGCATCTCTTTCTTTATTTGTCCTTTTCTATACTTATATGACTTGATATTCAATACTTCGATATTTCCCTTCCCTTTTTTGTCACATCTTTCCCCTTTTATAAAATTAAAAATTCAATTCTTATATTAAACGTATATAGATACGGCCTAAGAATCTAACTAAATTCCTTTCGTTTGTTCTTTAACTATTTCTTAAAACTACCTACATTCTTCACAATATTTATAAAACTGTCAACAATACGATTTCAAAATAAGTTACCTAAAAAACTATGTATTTTCCCAAAACATTTTTTAAGTAACTTTTGTTAAATTGAGCCTAAAATATATTAAGTCTATTGTATGGTTCCCTTTCTCTTGTAATGTCGGTGATGTCGCAGCGCAGTGAACCATGGGTGCCTTTCATTTTGACAGTTTATTTATATTTTTCTATAGCAATAAATTCTTTAATATGGCAACACTATTAAATCTAAAGTTACAGTTAGTAACGCGAAATATATCAATTTAAATAGTAAAATGTAATATTGTCATATAATAGCCATTTATTTATTACGGGAATATTATAAAATGGTTTGGGGAGAATTGAAATCTGGAACAGAATTGAAACAAACATATGAGCGATATCTTTAAAATGAAACATGTATTTGTATGTGAAATTGTATGTAAAAAGCCCTTTATAAGGACTTGAAAAATAGTTATGTACTACACGACTGTAACATATCTCAATTTTATGACGTCATCTAGTACTTTGGTACAGTCAGCGGCATAACGATGTAAACATTTACAAATCTTACCTTCTTGTATATTAAATAAATTGAAGTCATTAATTACATTTATTCATGGTCGGAAAGTGTTTGGACAGATACATCATTGAATATTTTTAAAACTAGAAACATGAACAAGTTTTCAATGCTTTGTAAGTGTATACATATTAGCAGCTGACTGTACAAAAACGTTGTCTAAAAGTGTGCACTTATGACTAAACTATTGGACGACTGTTTAATCTCGATTGGGTTCCTATGAGCATATATGGAGGTGCGGATACTACTCCATTTTATTTGTGCAACTAAACAGTTGAAGGCTGCGAAACAATTGACAATCGCACCTCAGTTGTGCGATAGTTTAGTCAAAGGTGGGTCTGCTCTAATGGAAATAAAACGTCATGTAATTTTTTGTATACCTAATTTTGTACTTGTATACTTGGTGTTGGTTTTTTTAGACTACCGATTGTAGATTGTCAATAGATTTGAATCGTTTGTATGTTTTTTATGTTGATTTTATATTTCGTGTGATGGTTTGTTATATGTCTATAGTAATTATTTTACGGAAAACATCTACATTTTTGTTGTAAAAATTTCTGGGATTGGATAATTTTTCTTAGAGACTCCACAGGCTAGACTTTTAATCGGGCGTTTTACTATGAATATGTATACAAACCATATGTCCATTTAAACAATTACTATAATTGTAACTAGCGATATCAATTTTAACACTGCACTAGAGATCTCGTCACTCGTCAGGAATGCGCGCGAATCTCAATCCTTCTAATGACATTGACAGCTGTCAGTTAGAGATGTGACGTTTATGCTAGTCTTGTGTAGTACACATACAATGTACTAAAAAGTAATGTTACTCAGCACTGTACTAAAAGTAACGTTACCCAACGGCTTCTGTTAATCGGACATTTGGCACTTTTAGTACACTACACGATATCGGTGTTCGCTTCTTCGTTGTTTAATTTGATTGTATATTTGCCAGATTGAAGCATCCACCTTTGGTAATAAGAATCAAAAGTGGTTTAAATCATTTATAACTTAAATTTATTTTCGCTAATAACATATGATTGACCCTGCTTAAAATTTGATGTGAAGTAATCTATAACCATTGTTATATTCTATTCATGCTATTGTCTTCTCACAAATCTGAAGTACTAAGGGTACTAAAAGTGTGTACTAGTACGTTTTCCCAATTGTACTAGTACGGTGCGCACTTGCAGATGTCCGATTAAGCCCAAGACTAGTTTATGCCAATAATCTAGTGTTGCGCGGTACTAATTTTCTTCTTAACAATACATACTCTATAGTAATTCACCGATAATGTTGGCTTCGTCCGAAACTATCTAACTATAGACCGATAAAAAGTCGCTCTGTTGGTATCTCATAATATGATAATTGAAGGCCTATTCCCGTATTTAAAAAAAAATCGTAACTTTCGTTAGCTTTTTGAATTTCGAAACTCTAACGTGTAAAGAGACAAGTTCTTATATTAAAATCCTCTTTACTTGATTTTATAAGTTCTAGAGTGATTCTGTTTTTAGTGTATTTTAGACTTATTTCTTTTTCTATACCCTTGAAAAAGTTTTAATAGGTTCATAATGTATAAGGGAATAGATTCTTGTCTCTCGTGCGTTAAGTTTTAAAAATAAACTGTTTGATATACTTGTTAAGCACCCTAAGTTATCCACGTGGCGAGCTCTGGATCTCTTCAGTTGAAGAGATGTAGGTTAAGTTAGATTTAATGCCTATAGCCGGGGTGAATGCAAATTGTATTCAATAGTAATGTGACAAAATAATACTAACAATATATTTAAGTAATAATTAACGCCATATTTGCATTTGCCGCTTGTTAGCACATTTTATTTACAAGTTTTATGTTGAATTTTGTGTTATTTTTTTTTTAATATTTGTATTCCCCCTCGAAGTGATAACAACATTTAAAATAAAATAGTTTTATAGATTATTGAGTAGTCTAATATTGTTCTGTAATAATTGAGTACACAATTTAGAAAATTCCAATTGAAATACAAAATAAGAAGAAATTCTAGTTAAATATTCGACAATAATGTACAAAATATTCAATTCGATAATTACAATATTTTAACCGGATTTAAAGATCGTATCTTAATATTTTGTCTATAAATTTTAAAGTTCACTAAACACAAATTTCTTCATTTTTCAATATATTCAAACAATTAGAAAGAATTTAATCTAGATTATCTTGTGAAATTTAAAAAAAAACCTTTATATTTAACTGTATGTAACATTTTAAGGAAATATCGATGTATAGTCTAACCAATAATATAAAAATCCTAACCTAAGGTTGCGTTAATCACTTTCTAAAGTGATCAAAGGAAGCCTTAGTTCCATATTTATTCGTAACATGGCGAGGTTTTCTATATTCCAAGTAAATGTATAATCATTTTCAATATTGCCTTGTACAGATAGAAGCGGTGTAGATAGGTATTTGAATCTAATTACAGGGCTGTAACTTCTAATTATAAATAAGGTAATCGAAAGTCGTCTCCTTAGGACTGTAACACACTGCCACGAAAGCGAAATCAAAATGGAACTGAGTTTACTCCCTAATAAATTTGATGTTGTACCCTTAGTTGAGAAATGGTGCGCTGGAATGAACCTAATTCACGCCTAGTTTGTATCGCTTTGCTTTCGCTTCGCTGGCAGTGTGCTAGAGGCTTTATCAATTCCAATTGTGCTCGATGTATTAAAAATATATTTTCATAAGCTATACGCAAGCGAAATATATTCACGTAGAAAATTTAAGATTAATGGAAAAAAAGAATTAAATCCAACATTTTTTATTTCGATTATTTTTTATCTTTGTAATTTTTCATTATAGGTAAGTAGGTATTTAAATTTTATTTTAGTACAAATTTTAATTATTTCTTTCTGTTAAACATTTCAATGAGTTCTTTTTACTTACAAATGTATGTGTAAGTTTTAATGTAATTAAAAATAAAGGGAAATGGGATCATTGTGTCGGATTAAATAACGCTTTTTTCGAACTGTTTCACGAAAAGAGTTACATAATAGGATCTCTAGATGTAACATTTTTCGTTGAACAGATCGATTTGTCATAAAAATGGATTTGACGCGCGTTCCGACACCAAAATGTTAAATAGCTTTACGAAATAAATCTAAGAGATGGTCATAAATGTTTGTAATTAAATGATAAAGTTTATTGTAATTGTAAATGTCCAATTAATTTATAACAATGGCCTTTCTAAGAGAATATAATTCATTAGGATAATATCATACCTTTGGTGTTTGTAGCAAACTGGCTGGTTAGCAGATGTCATAGTTTTTAAAAATCCAAGGCCTAAGGATCATTCAGCCAAAAAGTATTTGGCAGTTTTCTTTTTAGCCTGTGTAAGGTGCAATATTTTTATATCTTTAGCTAAATATTTTATAGATTTTCACTTTTATTTTGCATTCGTAAATTTAAAATGAATTAAAGAAACGTTTTATTTTACCGACTTTTACTTATTATTTGATTTAGTTAAAAAAAAGTATGTTACAAATGTATAACTTTCGTTAACTTATCTAAATAAACAAGATTGAGGTTCTCTAAAAAATCTTTGAATTGCTATACAAGATAAGATTTTTATGAAATTTATTAATTGAAATATTGTAGAAGGTAAAGCCCAGATAGCTAATTTAATAATTTTAAAATCCTGTATAATTTGAGAGGGAGACAATATTTTTTCAAGATTTAAGAGTAATGACTAACATAAATTATTAGATAATCTATGGAATGTTAACCGGCATAATATGACAAAATAAATAGTTTTGTTAAGAGAACAATAAAAGAAATGGAATGTTTTGCATATGTTGTTTTATTTACAAAAATATAACCTTATACTTAACATAGTCTCCTATTTTAAAACAATGTCACAAAACACCTTATGGAAAAAAAAATATTTGTCAAGATATCTCATACAATCAATGCTGAGACTCAGTGGTCAATGCACTCTGTATAGCAGTTAATTAAATGCCTTTTTATCCTGAAAAAATCCACATAATCAAACTAAGGCATCTAATTCAAAATTAGCATAACATGAAAACTCATTAGCGAGATTGTTTCTATGATGTGGTTGGAACTGGCAACATTTTAAATCTAAAAATTTCTCCACTAATTCTTTCATAATTGCTCCTGTACAAAACACTATTTTCTCCTTTGTCAGTAGTTTAATGGTCTGCGATGTTTTTGTAACACATTCTTCTGATAGGAATGGTGGGTCAGCTACAACTAAGTTGTAACTACCCTCTATGTCTGGTGGCAACTTGTCCGGATGATTGTAGTCGTAGAATATAAAATCAGGTGCATGCACTTCAAATCGTCTGTCAAATTCGAAGAGAGTAACTGGAAAAAATATTAACAGTTATTCAGGGCACAATCCAGTTTGTATATTAAGGGTACCAATTCAAGAGAAATTACTAAATCCCATCAAAGATTAACAATGGTACAAGACAATAGATTGAGATAAGATGTAAATGGCAAGACCCCTAAAATAAACAGAGTTTTGATTAGCAATATCGCAAACAGAATAAACAAAATGTGTAAAAAAGTGACAAGCACCTAACTCATTAAAAGTTTTTGCCAGTTTCATATATATTCCATCAAGAGCAGGGTAAATCGGCACTTATTGAGCCAGAGCGCTCTATCAATCAGCCGCATCTTCACTTAGATTAGGCTGTCATGGTCAAGTGCTGGTTAAATGTTAAAAAAAAATTACATGTACACTACCTGATGCTCTGTGTCCAATTTGTCTCTTGAGTGGCACAAACAATGTGGGACAGGATATGAGGGCCACTTTGCCTCCATCAGGCAGGACCCTGTCAATCACCTTCACTAGGGTTCGCACTGTCGCCTCATCATACCAAAACTGACTTAGTTGCTAAAAACATAGTTCAATACAGCACCATAATTTAATTTTTGAATTTGTTCAGTTCTGATACTAAATCGACAAAAGAAGACTGTTTAAAGTTTTAAATAACAGAATTGGTCTTTAAATTATTGATTTTTACCCAATTTTCCTCAAAAATTATTTTCTCGCCCAACTTATTGTCAGCTTCTAGTTTACTCAGAATTTCCTCTCTTTTTGTCTGCTCTGCATAGAACTCTTGAAGAGCTGCAAATGTTTCTGCAGACAGCCTCGGCACATCATCGTCTTCATCCATTTTTTTGTGTTTTCCAATAAGATTTATCTATCAAGAAGTTATTTTATAATTAAACTAGTAGTTTATAACTTAAGTATGCTTCAGACTTAAGAATTTTTATATTTTATAATACAGCTGTGATCAGTTTTAAAGTAGAGCCGTTATAGCTATAAAGGCGGGCTTATTCATTTAATTGAAAATATGTTATCAATTTCTTGATAACGATAGTTTATAACATAATATAGTTATTGTTAAGAACTTCTCAATTTCAATGTGAAATTAAACTCAAGAAAAGACACCTTTTAAAGTTTGTGACAGCTAAATTAAAAATAGGTTAGTTTGATAGAGACACGGGCCAGGTTACGTTGCTCCAGTTTAATAAATAAAAAAAATGGTCTTACGTAATTTCTAGGCTTATAAAGTAATAGTATACCAACAATTTTAGTGGTACGTATCTTATTTAATTAAATAAATGTTGTGTTATGTTTAAAAAACATTTATAAGCAAATAATCGATAAATACATTTATCGATTAATCAATGACAAATGAGAATTTATTGACATTGACAGATCACTTATACAGCTAACAAATAGTTATGTCATATGTGCACAGATATTTTATGTATTTTACAGCATATCAAAATGGACTTTGAAGAACTTCGGGTTGTGGCTTTACACAAACATCCCGATTGTTTAATGGCATGCTGCGATATGATAAACGATGAATGGCCTCGAAGTGTGACAGCGAGACTAAATTCCTTACAAGGGTCCTGTGACAATTTACCAACAAGTTTAATTTTAATTAATAACAATAAGACGTTACTAGGACATTGTAAACTATCTCCGATCCCAAGTTTGTCGAGAAGCTGCTTTTTAGAAACTGTGGTTATAGCTAAAGCAATGCGTGGAAAGAAACTTGGAACGTTTATGATGAAGAAAGTTGAAGAATATTGCAAAGATATTTTAAAACTAGACATGATACATTTGTCTACTCAAGGACAACAGGATTTCTACTCCAAATTGGGTTATGTTGTTTGTCATCCTATATCAATTTATGGCAATGTGAAACTAAAGGAGACATCAACGAACAAGAAAACTAAAAAGGAAACTACCGCATCAAGACAAAAAGCTACCAAGGAAAAGACACCACCACCTCCACCTCCGCCGCCCCCACCGACTTCAACTCCAACAACTAATAAACCTGAACAAGTATTTATGTTTAAGAAATTATTTTAAATACTTTATTGATTTGGAAATCACTTTACATTTTTTGTATAAATAACTTTTACATTATTTTAAGTGACTTTCTACAACTACTTCTACAAGCCTAGTCAATATTTTTAAGACATGCATTTATTTTTATGCCAAACTAATGTATTAAATGGTATCCTTTACTATATTATGTATGTGGAAATAAAATCTCAAGAAAATGTTGTTATATGTTTATTTTAGAACTGTGCCTTTTCTATAAACTCCACAGCTCGTTTCCTGATATTTTCTACTTGCTGATGGTTGCCGATTTTCTCTTCGACCTCTATCCATTTCTTGAATAGTACTTTCATTTTGCGCGCTGGCAACTTCTGTGACGTCATACGCTCCATGAGTTGCCTGTGAAATATATCCTTGTTAGTCAATTAAGGTGTAAAATAAATAGATTGTTTAACTCCCAATTTACAATATAACATAATTCTTTAGTCTATTTGTATTTGGTCAAATTAGATGTATGGTTGTTGACCGATTGTGCGCGACTTGTCAACGTGCAATTAAAAAAATAATAGACATATGTTAATAACTTTTTAGTAGGGAAAAAATTTTTGAAATGAGACAAGTAGTTTTTGAATTATTTAAATCCATACAAAAATACAAATCTTTTACTTTCTTTATAATATAAGTATCAGATAGCACACTAGCGCCCTTTTTATAACTCAATTATTTTCTGACAGAACCATGAAAGCAGCGCTGTTCGCGCCTAAACAGCGCTTTATGATGGGTTGCGAAACCGGTCCGCGCTTCCCCCACTCACCGCACAGGACCGCCCCTAAAATCTGCTGGTGCAACGTCTTACGCGCCCCCGCATCGATCAGAGTGTGTGTAAAATCATCCAACAGCAACAGTAACACTCAATACAATAAACACCGTGAAATAGTATACGTGTGTTTAATAGAAGATTATAAGCCACATAAAGTGGCGACCGTAACAACAAGCGCTTTTCAGTCTTTGATTATAATTTAGATTTTGTACTGCGATGTACCTGATTTGTTCTATATCGTTACTCTTGATGAGCATGTCGACGTATAGCGCGGCGACGTCGACGCGGTGCGGGTAGGCGGCCAGCACGTGGTCGAGCAGCGCCGCCGCGCGCTCCGCCGCCCCGCAGCCGCGCTCCAGCTGCGCGAACCGCACCAGCAGGGACACGTCTGCATACATGTTTTACATAAATAATGTTACTTTTAAAATTATTTGGCTACAAAGGAAGAGGAAGACCGAAGAAAGTATGGATGGATTGTGTGAAAGAGGATATGCCTAAGAAAGGAGTTGAGATATGACGGCTGATAGAGATGTATGAAAGAACAACACATACTGTGCCGACTCTCAATAAGGGATAAGGGCAAGTTGATGATGATGAGTTTTAAAATATTTTAGGTACATTAAGATCTGAGTGTTTTTGTTTATATTACTCCCTAGATTTAGATAAGTTTTCTAGTTGTGACCGAGTGTAATATTAAATACATGTTTTTTTTCTTCTATTCTGTACAACTCCGTGTTCGCTTTTGTGTACACATGCCGAATATATTCCTTTTCTTATTTTTTGAAACGAATTTATTTCTTTCTAACATTCAATACTAATATCAAAAGACATTAAGGGCATTCCACTACAGTATAGCACCAAGTGAGGGAGAAATCTTCTAAAATAGAGACCAGGGAACCATGAAAATTCAGTATTCCCTCTAGAAAGTCGGCAGATAGTGGAAGGTAGAAGTATAAGACAGAGGACCCCATTCTGTGGAAGGCATTGGGAAAGGCTACGTGGCTAAAGGCACGTCCAGCAGTGTGCAAATAAAGATAATGGCGCACTTATTCTAATATACAATTCGATTCAAATCAGATAACGTTTTAACTTATAGTCCGACTTAATTAGAAGATTAATCAATATGTGTCGTAAAATCGTAATTGCAAAAGTCTATATCAACGTTAAAATTTCTGAATATTTTTTCCCGCTTAAAAATAAAAGATTTTACTGACGTTCTCTCTTCTCCAACGCCGTGAGTCCTTTCTGCATGATCTGGCGCGCCTTGTCGAGCAGGCCGAGCTGGTAGCAGGCGCTGCCGGCGGCGCAGTAGGCCTGCAGCTGGCGGCGGTACTTGCGCAGCATCAGCTCGGCCAGCGCGCCCGCCTCGCCCGCCTTGCCCGTCTCCACGTAGATGTCTAACAGCTTCGAGTGGATCTGGTACTTCTCGTTCATCTGCAGCGCCTCCTCTAACGTCTTCTGTTGGGATTCCTGGGGAATATACGAAAATAACTGTATTTCTTCTGGATTTTAAATTTGTCTATAAAATAAGATACACTGTTAGTTAATTTATTTTACTATCCCATCATTTACGTAACATCTGATTAGTTTTTTGTAAGCGGCGGAGTGTCTTATTCTAAAAAAACAAGGAAATTATTCTGTAAGTATAACACTGCGGATTTCCACAACTGTACCTTGGTGCCGAAGCGATGCTCCAGGTTGAGTAGCGCGAGCCACACATTAAGCTTCTCTTGCTCCTCGCGGAAGTTGATAGTCCGCAGCGCGCGCCGAGCCACGCTGCGCGCCTTCTCTATCTCCGTCGCCTGCAACAACACATATTTACATTTTAAATGTACTCATTGATCTCGGTAAAGAAACGCTTATCACGTTTAATTCCATCAATTCGTCTTACGATAAAATTTTTTTTTTTTTTTTTTTTTTTTTATAGTAAAAGGGGGCAAACGAGCGGCGTGTACACCAAGGTGGTCAACGACGCCCATGGACATCCGCAACACCAGAGGAACTACAGATGCGTTGCCGGCCTTTGAGGAAATGATAAGCTCGCTTCTTGAAGGACCCTAAGTCGTATTGGTTTGGAAATACCGCCGAGGACAGACCGTTCCACAACGCGGCTGTGCGGGGCAGAAAGTTCCGCGAAAACCGCACGGTTGTGGAATGCCAGCCATCGAGATGGTGAGGATGGTACCTGGCAGTCTGTCGTGTCGTCCGATGACGAAACTCGGCGGCAGGAATCGTTCCAAACAACTCCTCGGAACACTCCCCGTGGTAAATGCGGTAAAAGATGCAGAGGGAACTGACGTCCCTCCGCAAGGCCAGAGGATCTAGCCGATCGGTAAGAGCTCGGTCGTTGACGATTCGAGTCGCTCTCCGTTGTATGCGGTCAAATGGAAGAAGCTGGTATTGGGGTGCTCCCGCCCAGAGGTGCGAGCAGTACTCCATGTGGGGCCGAACTTGCGCCTTGTAAAGTAGTAGGCGGTGGCCCGGCTGGAAATACTGCTTCGCCCTACTGAGCACACCCAGCTTTTTAAAATTTAAACATGGCTGATTTATACTTCATATATAAAAATACGAGAGAGAAAGAGAAGGGTGAAGAAAGAATTGTGAAGACAGCCTCGCGAATTATATCCAATCTGTAATCTATTGCGTAATAGATAGAGCGAGAGAGGAGACAAAAAGGGGGGAGAGAGAGAGAGAGAGAGAGAGATAGAACAGTGTCATGTATACCTGTAGATGGAAGGCCATGTACGCAATCCAGAGCTGGCTGCAGTCGGGGCTGGCGAGCAGCGCGCGCTCGAACTGCTCGGCGCTCTGAGGCGCTTCGCCCGCGACCTGCGCACTCTCCAGCGACCTGATCTTCTCTTCTTCCTCTCGCGCTTTCGCCACTCTCTCTGCTGCACGAAGCTTCTTACGTTTTTTCTTAGGCTTTTCTTCTTCCTATTAAAAAAAAACATCGAATTACAATAAACATGAGGAATGAGTAATACATTTAGCCAGTAAAAGTAAATACAAACCTCCTCCTCGCTGCTGCTACTGGAGTCCTCCTCCTGCGCCGGGGGCGGAGGCTCCGCGGGCGCCAACCAGAACTCCTTGGCGCTCGGCACCTCCAGCACCGACTCCACACTTTGCACATTTACACTTTTACTTACATCTACCACTTTTTGGACCTTAGGGGCTTCTGGCTTATCTATTTTACTCTCACTTTTCTTCACATTAAACTCTATAAGATCTGTAATCAATTTTTCTTTCTTTTCCTTCTTTTTATATTTTGTATTCAACTGAAATTCTTTGAACTTATCCTGCGCTATTTTTAACGCTTCTAGAAGTTTCTCGATTGCCTTTTCTATGAGTAATTTCTCCGAGAGCATCGCTGTGTGGAATTTTTTGTTAGCGACCGTTATACCTCTGTTGACTAATGTTTCTATTTTTTCATCTATTCTGTCAATGCGACGTGTTTTTGCTTGAATTACTTTTAATAATGACATTATTCTTCGTTTGTATTGCTTTGGAGCTGTGCAATCTGACAGGTCTATGAGGCCCTGGTCTTGAGGTGTCAACATATTGTCACTGTCCTCATAGATATCAGTTTCTATGGCATCACTATCTTCTGTCATCTTATCTTCTGACACAGATTCCTTTCTTTTCTTTTTCTCGGGAATCTTTTCTTCATCTGAATCTGTTTGTGTTTCTACCGTTTTCTTTTTCTTATTCGCTTTATTCGGTTCTTGTTTGTTTTCACTGTTTTTCTTTCGTTTATTGACTTTTTCTTTGTTTATGTCGATATCTTCATCAATAAGTTCCTCTTTAGAGAATATTTCATCCAGATCCAAAAAGTCGTCATCTGTTTCTACCTTTTCTGTGTCTTTTTTCTTTTTAATTGTCTTTTTTTCTGTTTTATCTTCTACATTATTCAATTCCTTGTTTTCATTTTCAAGATTTTCATTTTCTACATTTTCACTATCTATGCTTATGTGATTTTTATTCTTTTTGTTTTTCTTTAGTTTTTTCTTTGACACTTTGGACTCGTCGTTTTCTACCATTTCTTCATCTTCTATAGATTCACTTTTCTTTCTGTTTTTCTTTTCTTTCTTACTTGATGTTTTTATTTCTTCTGTTTCCTTAAGTTTCTTTTTTAATACTGGGGTATCTTCAGTGTTCTGTCTCTTTTCCGCTTTCTTTTGATTGTTCTGTAATGAATGTTTAAATTAGTATTTTTTCGGTACCAAAAGTAGTTTTTCAGTTTTATAATGTAATTAGTAGTAATATTAAATAGTATAATGGCACGGGGCCATTATCGCCATTCTCTGCTTCCATGATTGCCGAGCGAATGCGGGTAGGCGGGCGAGGAGAATTAAATTCACTTGTATAGAAGTTAACACACAGTAATTATATTCACAAAATACAAGTGTTATTACAATCAGCGATTTTAATATTACAATAAAATAACGACACTCCGCCGAACACGTCTTGTCTCTTCTAGATGCAAATCGATTCTGTCGTTTTGCCTCCGCGTACAAAAGAGCTCGGCGTTGTGTCAGAGTGTAGAAACGTCAAATCACTTCCTTTTTAAAATGTCATAGTCAAATGTCGTTATGACGTTTCATGACACTCTAAAAAAACACGGAGGCGCCGTCAAGTATTTTGTAAACGTTTCCTCACCCAAAACTCAAACGGAGCAGCGAGTAGACTTCCAGTCATCTTTTTGGTCTCCGGAAACACTCTCAGAATGGTGCAGTTAACCTAAAAATGACATTACCATTTAAAACTTGTCAACTCTATGATATAGTATTAAAAGACATAATAAGATGGCAACACTTACAATCTGTCCGAGATGGAATAGTTCGAGCAGTGCGTCAGGCGGCGGCTGGGCGACGTGCGCACGCGGCACGTAGCACTGCACGCCGCCGAAGAAACACACCACCAAGTAGTCGCGGACGAACTGTATGATACGGTAGGAAGTAGTAGTTTACGGTAGAATTTGGTAGTTTATGGTAGAATTTGGTATTTTATGGTAGGATGTGGTTGTTAATGGTAGTAAAGTTACTCTGGTTGTTCTTACCGATATAACTCCGGTGTAGGTGTCCCCCACTACCGCGTCCTCGTATGTGTGTAGCACGCGCAGGTCCGGCGCAAGCAGGCTAGGCTTCAGGGTTAATATTAACATCCCTTTTTTGATGTTTAAAACTCGCGCCTTTACTTTCTGTCCCTCCTGTTTAGTAAAACATTTTTGTTTATTTAAGACTAGTTTTCGCCAGCGACTTCGTCTATATGGAATTAAAAACAAATATAAATAGCCTATGCCAAATTTCATCGAGATCCATTCAGCAGTTCAGGCTACAAACTCTAACAAACATTCATCCATCTAAACTTTATATTTATAATAACAATTTATAAAATGTAAGATATCACAATTTTGTCAATCTCTCATATATTTTTTTTTTTAGTTTTAAACATACGTTTAGATTTGAGATTGATGTGAGATTCTGCTTACCTTAAACTTCTTTGTAAGTTGTACTGTGCTCGCCTTCTTAGGGTCCACGTAGTACCCACCCTCCGATATATGCGTCTTCGCAACAATACCTAAACGGCCATATATTATTATTTATTACTAGTACTATAAATAAATAATTTTAACATATACTTAGACATTGTAATCTAACAGCAGATAATAAATCGTAAACAATAGAAATAAAAGTCAAATAACTATTGCAAAGAACAAACAAAGAGTACAAAAAACTACATAATTACAATAAATTTTATTAATAGACAACTTGTCATTACATTTTGTTAGTCTCTTAAAAACATAAGATAAGACAATTCAATTATTTTCAATTATTTTTCTATAATAAAGATAAAAAAAATATTTTATAACTATAAATCAATGAAATTTTTTTCTCATCTGTATTTTATGTTCAAGTGTATTTATTATTGCATTATGAGCTGATTAAATGTTTATTATTATTATTAAATAAGGTATTTAATATCATCATCACCAGCTCACTGAACATCCCATCAGAGGGGCTCGGAGTCTACCCTAAACTACAGTAACTAGACCATAGTCAACATGCTGCACTGCGGGTTGACTTCACACATATCTTTGAATTTCTTCGCTAATATGTGCAGGCATCACGATGTTTTCCTTCACCGTTAAAACATCGGGTAAATTATGTACTGTGTATTTAATACTAGCTGTTGCTTGTGACTTCGTCCACGTGAAATTAAGAAATAATTAAAAACATAGTTACCGATACGGTAGCTTTTTAATTGAAAGAATTAAGATCTGAACCAGTAATTTTTGAGTTATTCCAATACATATAAACACAAATATTTCCTCTTTATACAAAGACATTAAATAAATATATACCATACGTAGTGAATTTTTTCAATGTTTTTATCAATTCATTTACCAACTAAGTTTAATAGCGTGAAAAGCGCCTAAAGCGTGTCGTAAGTGTAGGGCTTTTTATTAAACAAAGAATTATTCAAAAATATGCTGTAATTACTGACATCTTAGGCAACAAAGAAGTGTGTGTTTACGCTTTATTATAATAGTATAGATTTCTGCGCTGATACTTCGGGTTGCATCACGATGTTTTCCTTCACCGTACGAACGTCGGGTAAATTATGTACTGTATGTGTATTTAATATACATACCATTAACTCTTCCAACGTCCAAGGCGAGCCTGTCATCGGTGACACTCCTGACTGTAGCGGGCACTATGTCTCCCACGGACAGGTCGGACATTGTGAATATCTTCTCTGACAGTACGGACGCTTCATCACTCAATGAATACATGTAGTCACACATATTATACGCTAGTACTCTCACCGTATGACTACTACCTGGAAATAATAAATAAATAAATCTTACTAATATTATAAAAACGAAAGTTTAGATGGATGGATGTAAGAGTTTGTCGCCTAAACTGCTGAATGGATTTCGTTTAAATTTGCCATAGATGTAGTATAGTCTGGAAGACCACTTAGGTATACTTTTGATTTTTTAATTACACGCAGACGGAGTCGCGTGCGAAAACCAGTCATAAATAAAATTATATAGAATCTAATAAGAAAAAACATAATTTAGTAAAAAGAGATGTCGATTGAGAATGAAAGTGTAGAAGGAGGCACGAAGGGGGTGACATGACGTGCCAGTAGCTAACATACCAGTTACCATGTTTTACTAACTGCTTGTTTTCCACTTACCAATAGGATATGACTTGGCGACGACATCCTCATCAGCCAGCTCCTCATCCACTTGGATCCTGCGCAGGCTGAGGCTGCCCACACTACCCTCCCCCAGCTTTAATAATATACTTCTACCCATTATTTTTATCACCTGAAATATCAATTTTTATTTCGTCAAATTCCGATATAACGACATTCCACAGAAACGTGTCAGTCGTATTGTATTTAATACTAGTGGTATTAAAATAACAGTAAAAATTAAAAAAAAAAATAAAAACCCTTGATATCCTATACATTTACATACAGTCAATATATTTATTAAAAAAAATATTATGACAATGAGCTGCAGGCTCAGCGTGTACATTTTATTTTTTTCTGATGATTGATTCTGTTGATGATGACTTGATTCATCAGACATCAGTCTGTCATTTGTAAACAATCAAGTCTATTTTTTATTTATTAGTGTAAGATATTTTAGAAATTAGCTCAGTAGTTTTTTATTTTCAATACATACAAAAATACAAATCTTTCCACTTTATAATATAAAAGTATAGAAGACAGTTTAATGGCGTTCAAATGGGATTTAAATGTTACAAAAATTAAATTATCATGTTAATTCATAGTTATTAATGCGATGGATGGATAAATGGATGGATGTTACAATACATCTCCAAAACAATTAAATGTATCTCGATGACATTTGTCACAGATATAGAATAAGTATAAAAGAACACATAGGCTACTTACTAAGTTTTTTTTATAATTACATGCAGATAAAGTCTGTGGTAACAGCTAGTATTAATCTTACTAATATTATAATTGCAAAAGTTTAGATGGATGGATGTTTGTTAGAGTTTGTAACCTAAACGGCTGAACAAATTTCGATGAAATTTGGCATAGATGTAAAAAATAGTCTGGAAGAAGACATAGACTACTTGTATTTGTGTTTTTTAATACCTCGGACGGAGTCGCGAGCAGAATCTAGTATAATTATAAGTACCTGAGCTTCTTCAATAATATCTCCCTTTTTAAACTTCTGTTCTTTATCTAAATCTGGATATGTGGACTCAAAGATATTCTTCATTGTTAGGAACGGTGTGTTTCTTGTTGGTAACACATACAGAACTCTGGCACGCACCTGGTAAATTGATAAACAATAAAAAAGGCCTAATTTAAGTCACTTTTCTTTACCACCCTATTCTTATAAGGAGAGGTTGGGAAGAGGAAGTGGATTTGACAGTGGAGGAGATGCATAGGAAGGGGAAATATCCTCTTTATGTTCGTCTCCGTTATAAGGGTAGGCAACGCATATGCAATTGCGGATGTCTATGGGCAGTGGTCGCTTCGCCATTTTGGTGAATTCAGGTGGCCGCTTGTTCGTTTGCCACCTTATGTTATAAAAAAAAACTAAGATAAAAAATTAACAGAATGACAAAAAGTAATTATTTTAAAGTTGGTTCTTATTGAAATTAAAGTATAGATTGTTTATATTTTTTTATAAATTTGATTCAATAATATCATTTAAATCTATTTTAGTTGGTTTGTTACCTTTTGGCCGTAGTTAGGTTTCTTTCCTTTGACCTTATCAACTTGCTGCCGCTGCACATAGGCCACTGAGTCCGTGAATATGTGCCCTTCTATACCATTGTCTAAAGACTGTAAAAAAAAACTGTTAAACACATAACAATTTTAGAAACAAACTTTCATCATCAAATCGATACAATATAGTACAGTTAGCTGCATAAATAATAAATATGTATTTACTACAGAAACTTGTATATACTTTCGGTTTCAACGTACATGCATCTGTCTGTATTTTTATGACCATCAATACATATTATTGGTGGATAAATGTACACATGTTTGAAACCAAACCAAACCTATATTTGTAGTTTTGTAAATATATTTATGAAGCTGACTGTACTGCTCCTCCATATCTCAATAAGTTGCTATTGGAACTCATTCTCTTAGAAATACTCTCTTTTACACAATCCATCCATTCACTTCTTTCTTTGTATCCATCTAAATTCATTTCCACGTTGTGAAAAATGTCTTGGATATTTACCTTGTCGATAGTAAACTCTAGTGCAGTGGCAGGGTAGAGGACTGTTGATTGTCGTCTCTGTACAGCTCCCCGCAGCGCCTCCAGATCATTGCTGAGTGTTAACACACTGTTCTCATTCTCCACTACTAAAGACTTTATGCAACACCATGTCAACATTCCTGTGTCTGAAAACAGATTTTTAATTTTTACATCTACCCTCCTAAAATTAATAATATAACGCCTATAACCCAGAAGGGTAGGCAGAGACTGGAACATTTGACTTGAACTTAAGAACTCCTAACATATAATTTTATATTTAACTAGCTGTTTTTTTGTTTCGCGTGAGATTAAAAAAAATAAAAAAAACATGGCTTATGTTACTGATAATAGCTTTTTAATGTTGAAAGAATTTTTTTAATTGGCCCAATAGTTTTTGAGTTATTTCAATACATACAAATATACAAATCTTTGCTCTTTATAACATATAAATAGACAGTTAATATAAATAATTACGATTAAATTGAAAATAAAAACAATTACTGAAATTTTTTATAATGCTTTTTAGACTCACCTAATTCTAACTCAGGATTACTTGCGTTCTTGGGGAGGAATGCTCTGGTATTATTAATACCAACTTCCATAACATATCCATGATCCTCCACCGAGGAGACTGCCGCTTGTAGCAAAGCCCCTGGAATTATACGACAATTTAAAAACATATGTTCCAAGGCACAAAATTTTCATAAACTGTGCATTTACACTAGGATATACAAATTCCCAAATATATCTGATAATTCTGATAACATTTGATTATGTTTTATATTAAACAAATCTTACTTCTTACTAATATTATAAATGCGAAAGTTTAGATGGATGGATGTTTGTTAGAGTTTGTACCCTGGCTGAACAGATCTTGATGAAATTTTGCATAGACGAAGAGGATAGTGTGGAAGAACACATAGGCTATTCAATTCTGTTTTTTTAAGTTCCACGCGGACGGAGTCGCGGGCGAAAGCTAGTATAATATATTTATGTCAATAGATATGATAAAGAATTTGACCTTTATGTAGTTCAGTATGTAGGCGACCAGCGTTAACATGTTGTGGCATCATTGACATCATGACATTCCTGCCTTCAACCTCCAGCACCTTCAGCCCTACGTACTGGCCCGGACGGAACATCTCATTTAGATCTCGTACTTTATCTGACTATCAATGAAATAACATATAAACATTACTGAATACAATGCGAAATTTTATATGCATGGATGTTTGTTACGAAATATCTCCAAAAACAGATCTCAATGAAAAATGGCATAGATGTTGAACATTGTCTAAAAATCATTTAGACTACAGATTTTAGTTTCTTTTTAATTCTGCACAGATTTAGCAAGTGGTAAGTAATTTAATAAAACAGTACAGCATTTTAAGTTTCTTTTGATAGAATAGCAATTCTTTTTATTACCATATTGTTTAGATTTAAACATTGTAATAGTTTTTGTTTTTATTTTATAAAAGTAGGAGGCAAACAAACAGTGGCAACACTAAGGTGCTTCTTCATCACCATCAATGCAGGACTAACAATATGAATAAAAGTACCTGATCATTAACATAAGCTTCCAGTATTTTATTGTAAGCCTCGCTGATGTGACAAGCCATCACACTACCAAACAACCGACATGGCAGTGAAATGTTTATTCTTGTTTCTAAAATTTCTCGCACCCTTCCTAAAAATACCTGTCCTTGCTTAACTATCTGAAAATTAAGAAATTATTGTTAAGTGTTGAGTATTTATTGCATTCAAGTTTTGAGAATAATTCACCATTAATTAAAGCATTTTGCTTCTTAGCATTTCAGTATCATACAAGATTTAATTTTGTTTATGATGAGGAGACAAGCGAGCGGCGGGAACACCGAAGTAATCAGATGCATTAAGAAAATTATTTTTTATTTTTTTAACTGTGCGCACATCAAAATAGAGTAGTTATGAGAAAAACTGTTTATTTAAAGTCATAAAAATTGTTGTAGCATTCTGTTACCTGGTAATTAAGGCATATACCACAGTTTTTGAATGATTGGTCTTTGTCAGCAATAATTTCATCCGATAAATATCCATCGTCGTCTTCTGACCTTTTTTTAGGTTTCTGTTTCTTTCTCTCTCCTTTCTCAGCAGCAGCCAAAAACTATAATTTCCAAAGTAAATCAACGTGTTTACAAGAAAATTACACAATGTTTCTAATAAATAATAATAATCGATTACTTACATTACCACTCTGCTTAAAATATGTTACGGTTGGCTTTTTTCCACCACGAGGAAAATATTCTTCAACATCCCCCATATTTAATATCTATTTTCATGTATGTTTGAAGGCAATAGGTTAATATAAATAATCGACACTGTTACTGTTTTGGAAAATGGCATGTTTCTTTGAGGTTATGTTTAGACGTCAGACGTTATAGTTTTGACATTTGCCAAAGAAAAGTCAAAGAGAAAAGTGTTCGTTTTAAAAATTATGTGCATACAGCATTTTGATGTTAAACTTTCCACGGAACCCAAAATAAAGTGTAGCTTGAAAACATATGAAGATTTAATTCTATTTTAATATATTGAACTGTTATCTTAAAGGTTAACACACGCCACATCTATTCATTAAAAATCGATAACAACATCACTAACTAAGTGATCCAACTGTCAACTTCCCTTGAAATTGAAAATTATTACTGACGATTTTCTGTGGTTGATCTTATAAGTTTTTGTTTTCCTTCAAATAAAAATGCTATGCAAAGCCTAAACTTTACCTGTTACATTAAATCAATTCTTAAATTAAACGGTGCTTAATAACGTAGACGTAGACGTAGACGTAGTCCAATTTGGTCAGTTCGAAGTATGGTCTTAAAATCAATGCCAAGAAAACCAAATATATGTCGATTTGTAAAGTACCACCAGCTAGCCTCTCTCTCATTTGTGGCGGGCAGCTCCTTGAAAAAGTAAGCAGGTACAAATATTTGGGATGTTGAGTTGATGACACAGGGGATCACAGTCTTGAAATAAGATGCCGCATAGAACAAGCCCGGAACGCTTTTTTCAGACTTAGGACACTTCTGTGCAACAAAAAGCTGAACATTGAGCTACGGATGCGGCTAGCGCGTTGTTATGTTTTCTCCATTCTCCTGTACGGCGTTGAAGCGTGGACCCTAACAGAATCGATGTGCAAAAAAGTCGAAGCCTTCGAAATGTGGGTATACAGGAGAATGTTAAGGATATCCTGGAGAGACAAAATTAAAAATGTAACCGTGTTAGAACGCATGAAGAAGATGACAGAAGTGATATATACAGTTAAGAAAAGAAAGCTGCAGTACCTAGGTCACATAATGCGAAATGCCAAATACGAATTACTGCAGCTCATCGTACAAGGCAAGATCCACGGAAAGCGAAGCGTAGGTCGAAGAAGAACGTCCTGGCTCAAAAACCTACGCCAGTGGTATGGAAAGAGCACCCGTTCACTCTTCAGAGCCGTGGTGTCAAGAACGAAAGTCGCCCTAATGATCGCCGAACTTCGGAAGAAGATGGCACTTTAAGAAGAAGAATAACGTAGATCTATCTACGGATACTGTTTAGTTATGTATAGAACAATATTAGACCTATCCGCTGAGAGACCGAACACTTATTGAGGCTTATACTTTTTATAAATTGATACTCATCAAAGTATGAAAACCGAAAATACGATACCGATATGTGATGCACATCACTATTCCTTGTTATGAAATAATTGTGATTTATGAATTGAACTTGACAGCTACAAACAGAAGTTGTCTCTTTTTCTCGTGAGATTTAGAGGCAAACATTCAAGTGTGTATATGAGACCAACTCTTATTTCTCGACATCTCGACACATGTTTAAATACAATGAAGTACTGGAGTATTCTCTAGGCGTGAGTCGTTACGTCATTTTCGAGAAACGTAACGAAACTAGTGATTTGTTCGGTGTCACATGTTTCAAAACTAGTGATTTTTGTA